GGAATAACATATTCAACTGGCACTACTTAGGCTTTGTCAAAGGAGGGTGAGGAAAAGAGAATAAAAGGCAAAAAATAATACAGTTAAATGTAGATTTATAGAATGTAGAATATGTACTGAATGACATTTTAATTTACTGTTATTAGGGCAATTCGAAGAGTCGATACGTGTGATTTAATTTCAAACAATTTTCCTTGGCATTTCTTGTTTTTAAAACAGGAGCTCCTAATATTTCCATTAGTCACCGGACACATCAGATCCCAGCAGTGTCTGTGCACACAGCCGTCAGTGGTAAAGCGCCAGCAGTAATCAAGCGTGAGGGCTGGATATATAACAAGCACACTTCACAGTATGCCTAACAAGCGCACTTCACACACTAATCAGCTCAAGTGGACTTGCACATCCTTGCGCTCCGTTTCCGCATGGATACGAGCAATGGTTTAGATTATGAAATTATCCAGATAGTATCAATAGATAATGTTATCAATGATTTGACAAAATTACTGACTACGTCGAGGATTAGTAGCGGGTGAATGTCCCTGTGGCAGTAAGAGTGGCAAATGCAAAATGGGGCTCATCTTATCAGAGAGGAAGTACACACAATGTACTTTTTCTTTCTTTTAAAGAAAACTTTCGTATGTTTTTTCTTATAAATGTTTTGTGCTCCTTCACAGTGCTTCCATATCAACACATTAAACAAAAAAATACAGGGGCTATAAATACACCAGACAGCAATAAGGCTGCAGCTACGTAAAACTTTGGAACAAAGCCAATGTGTTTTCTTTTTTTTATGAAATCTACATATAATCAATAAAATGTCAAATAGTGGAAAAAAGCCAATCCAAGGTGCAGTCTTCAAATATATTTTCCTGACACAGAAAAGCCTGTATATATTTATATTTAATTGTATAAGACATACTGAGGCAGTACATTTCCATATTTAAAATGTTGGAAACAGCAAATATTCTTGTTTGACTGACAACTGACCAATTCTCCAAATTCAACAAATGTTCTGTCGATCATTGATAATTTGAATAATTGGTTCAACTTTAATAAACAGTTTTAAGAAGCTCTAATACATCAAGACTTAAACGATAATCCTGAATAAAGAGTTGAGTGTTACTTAAATAGAGACTTTTTTGCCCCGTGTCATAATTCGGGTTCAAAAGCTGCAAATTATAAAATAACACTTTTTTTCCATTTATTTTTACTCAACCGTAAATATAGTAAAATGTTATACATTGTGCGCATAGAGTGCATTGAAAAATCTGTTATTTGTAGCCTAAATAAAAGCGAAATAAGTGTCAGCATCAGCCTGTAATGGTATAAAGCTAAAATACACACACACACACACACACATGCAGTGACCCCCAGTTCTACCTAGTGTGTCCTCCACCCATAGAGGGATGCGGAGGGGGGTGCAGGATAGACACCGCCTCCTGTAATCCCATCAACTCATGTCAGACAGCAGTCTGGATACAAGCCTATCTGTGAGGCCTGTAATCCACGACTAAGACTTCACACACCACACTCACACTATCTGCAAACACACACACACACACACACACTCATGCACACACGCACGGGTGGAGAGAAAAGTGATAGTTGGTGTCTGCTTTACTCAATTTGTTTTTGCAGAAACTCTTGATATGCTATATATAAAGGCAGAATCAGCATGTTGTCATGCATCGTTTTGGCATACGCGCAGTGCTTTAATAATACATTTAAAGACTTGTAGATATGTAGATATAGAATGTAGATATCAACGGCAAAACATGCAAAGGGAATTATATTATGACTAGTTAATGTGTCAGTTAATCCTTAGGGCAATGGTGCAGGTATAGAAAAATATAAAGAAATGTTAATTTATGTACTGACAATTTGACAGACTAGTGCATGTTTTCAGAGAACATAAATCAAATGTCTGTGTCTGCAAGTTTAAGTTTTAAAAATGTTTGCAAAAAGGGCTGATATATTACAAGAAAATAAAAAGATGTGATGCTTTTGTCAATAAGTCTAAAATCTGACCTGCTGAAACTGTATTTCTTGAAATATAAATGAGAATCAAAGCTCCTCTTAGTGTGGTTAAGAATCACGCATTACATTACTCAGATTAAACATAAAAAGCGGCTTAAAATGACAAATTCAAATATGTTAAAAAGGGGCAAAAACCATAAAATAATCTACACGTGGCCATGCACAAATCCCTGAACGCCTCCACCACATTTTCCTGTCAAGCCATTCAATCAATCACCGGTACCGGGGAACAACGTGTCCCATTGTCATTCAGATAGGCTACATGCAAAATGCCACAAAGAGGGGAAAAAAAAGGAAAAAAAAGGAGAGATAAAATGACACGTCGGACAAGGCACCCCTGCTCATGTCTTGCTTCTGAGAAAGAGAGGGAGGGAGGAAGAGAGAGAGAGAGAGAGAGAGAGAGAGAGGCAGAGACACAGGGTGCAGGACCCACACGGTGTAGTTCCAGCCAATTGCATTCCAGAGAAGTGACCATGGCCAGTGATAAACAAAGCACCATAGATCATTCCTCCCCCAGACGGAGCTCCGGCGCTGGAGGCAGCGGAAGGCAGAGCGGTCAGAGTGAGACAGAAAGAGAAGCAGACAGAGACAGAAGACCACAGAGAGCTCACCGCTTATATGCCCCTCTGCTATCCTCTGATGCTACATTTTGACGCCCTTTTTGCAACTGGAAAATGCCATTAAAGCCGGCTGTGCAGATTCCATCACTGCATGACAAGAGAAAGGCAGCGAGAGAAAAAGAGGGAGGGATCCTTCTCTCACTGTGCCGATGCAAAGCAAAAAATACTGCCTTAAATTGTTTCCTTTAACAGAACAAAAAAGGCATTCAACACTTACCCAGATTCATTTGCATCACAACAGAAACCTCAGATATTCCTCCCAAACAGATGTGGAGCAGTGAGGTTCCCCCTCTTTTGTTTGTGAGCCTGCCCGGGCTAGGTTTCTCTGTTTGCATCAGCCGGCTTTTTTACGGCTTTTGAAGCAGGTGGATGACAAAAACATCAATCTCTCCAGGCACATTGTGTGGCATGCACGCTTTGACACACTCCCCTCACCGGCTCTATACAGTATAATCACACATTCCTATTCTCTCCTCGCAGCTCCACGAGTAAAATACGGGCTCAAAAGGGAAACTGAAGGACAAGTGTGCATTGCATTGTTGGAGTGTGCTTTTGTTGTAATCATGTTTTGATTGGATTATAATGGGAATTTGCTTTCTCTTCAGAGTTACATTTGCCATATGTTGAGGCAATTGGTAAAAGGGAGGGTATTGGGTGAATAAGCCAGAGTTGGAATCCTGAATCAGTTCTATTGTTTCCCCTCTTTAAATCATTTATTGCAAACTTAGCTGTCAGTCAGGTTAAAGATCAAAAGTCCAAAGTCAAAACTTGATCAAAACTTAGAATATAAAAAAACAAGATATTTAGGATCAAACATGTGTCCTCTGCTCAGAGATTTTATTTTTAGAAAACCTGCCTTTCATGAAGCATATTCAGGCAGCAGCCTATACACCAACAATGAAACGCATGAGCACATACTACAGTTTAAAAAAGCAGAAATCTGAGCTGACAGAAAATGCTCAGTTTTAGTTTAATAATACATACAGGTAACCTTGCACACTATTTTATGAACAAATAGGTTCACCTACTGAATTAAAGAATAACAAATGAACCAAAGAAAGTGAAAACCATAAAGCAAATTCAGGCGGTAGGTTTATTGAATACTGCTAGTAATCCCCAATTTTCAGAAAAGTAACAGTATCTGTTTTGGTATCTTTGAAGTACAGCTACCTTTTTTTGTATCCTGATTACGTAAACCTGTTACATGTAACCCGTTACTCCCCAAGCCTGATTATAAACTAGTATTCATTGGGTTGCCAGAAACATGACTGCGATGATTAACCAGACAACATAACACAGCGGTCTGTATAATATGTTGGGAAAAGTTTTGTTTGTGTTTTATGTTTTTCTAATAATGTTGGGCAACATGAGTGATAGCCCTAGCCCCTGCAGAGCAGACCTTTTGAGGCAACAACACAAGTGGTGTCGATGAGGTACGGCAATGACACAACAAATAACGGTCATGTTGATTCTGGCTTCACACAGGATATAAACAACTGGGTGACATTCCTGTGTTATTTGGACCAACCCATTATCCCAGCCATTCATCCTCCTCACTTTGTCAAAGTCTGTAGCTATGTATCACCTTTCCTCGCTCGTTATAATGAAGTACATTTCAGTAACCTGTCTGTGTATTTAAACAATGTTTATAATATTATGTTGTCATATTCCTTACCATTTGTTGCAAGGTGCAGGATCAGATGTAGCTGCAACCCAACCAACAGCCTTCCAACATGGACACCGAAATTATCTGGGATTTAAAATATGTAAAACATTAATACTTTATTGCAACACTATTCTAAATATAAAAAATAAAGTGAGAAAAGTTGAGAATATATTCAATTTGAAGACGCCTAAAATACCTCAACATGAGCACTCGAAGTTAACTCAATTTGCTTTTATTACCTAATCACATTTTATTGCATATTTTTGTAGAATTTGACTGCTGTCGTTATTTATCTTCCAGTCTGCTTTGCAGTAACACACACATTAGCCAATGCAGTAATAACCTCAGCAGAGGACAATGAATGTTATGTTAAGGTAAAGGCAGCAAATTAGAATAATCTTAATTCAGATCCAAGTGTCTGCCCTAAACTGTTATTTTGACAGCTTTGTATGTGTAACAGTTTATCCAACTTTTATAATCTTCGAAATCAGGGACTACATTTGTGTTTTTGAGTAATACAAATAATGTTAATGGCCCTTGTAATCACTGCAACCAACAGTTAAGACAAAATAAAACTATTTACACGTCAAAAAAGTATCTGCATCTGATTTCCGATACTTTTGAAAGACACTGAATGCAACCGCATGACGTCACCTGTTTTGTTTTTCATGGCGGGATGTGGAGGTTTCAGGCAACTTCTTCTGACATTCCTGACCAAAAACAAGTAACACATTGAGTTTTAAAAACTTTAATTTAAAGTTATACGTTCAAATGTGGGATTAAGGGTGCTCGTTTACTGAAACATGCCTGCTAGTTAATACTGTTAGGCTGGCCTCGCTAACGTTAGCTAAGGGAACAGACCTCCTGGTTTGACAGCTAGTTTAGACCAGGTTTACACTCACTGTTAGTGCGATGGAGAGTTCATTGGTGAAAGACAACCCACTGCTTTTACCTCTCAACAAGGAGAAAACTATTTATGACGGATTCATTACAGTCCAGGTAAGTGAATGCGTCAGTGCATTGTTCTTTCAACGACCCTACAACTCCAAACATCGTCGATTATTAGAATTCTAGGATTTCTAGCTATGAACAAATTACCATGTTGATACAAAATAACTGACAGGCGTTACATCAATGTCTACAAACTGCTGGTAAATTCGGCATATTGTAATAGTTCCTCACTTTGGAGAACATGTTTGTAGCAACCTTTAGCAAACTACGTTTACATTATGGGTACCAACTTCAAAAAAGTAAAATTTTAAAATACTTTTTATTTTCAGGTATTGTTAATGCCGAATTGAAGAAGTAATATAGTTTATTAAGATGTGGAAAAAGGTTGTGTTACACACTAAGTGCAGCTTTTAGAATAAGCAGCGAAACCTTAAATTGGAACATTTCTCACTGGAGTTCGGAAGGTCACGTGTTGCTTTTCTCGGTTCTCAGTATAAAGGTCATTAAAAATGCAGCTGGTTAACGTTTGCACACGACCCTCCTCAATTCAGCTCCGTTCTGTTGCCTGTCATGCTTTGATTATTCTCACAGGAACGAGACTTCAGATTGAGAATACTACTACCACCAGATCGTCAAGTTAAACAGGCCAGGTATAAATGATCATCTCACTTTCTCTTTACAAAAAACCTAGCATATGCATAGTGATGTTCCAACTATAAATACTTTTTTCTTGCAGGCTGCACTGCTGCTGGCAGTTAAAACACCTGTTGCATGGGTATGAGCACATAGTGAAGCAGGTAAACTCTACATACATCCCAAAATAATGAATAAAAACAGTTGTATTTTGCTGCAAAGTTAATCATAGTATTAATTTTAAAGGTCTCTCTGCTGGTTCTTATTGAAATCAGGCTTTGTGTTTTTAGTTTTATTGCCATGTCATTTAAGCCCCTTTGTGTTATCTGCATCATGCCTGGCTTCATACTTCTACTCCCTGTCAGCCACTCAGAAGCAGAACAAAATATATTTTTCACTGTTTAATTAACATCGCCTGGAAAATGTCCCTATTTGTTATGCTGCCCCTCAGGGTTATTTGGATGAGATTGATATTTCACCCCGGGCTGCAAAGTTCATTATTTTCACAGCCTTTAAGCTATCATTAATTATTAAAGCTGGTGGCAGCCCCCATTAATCACAAACACTGCGTTTGATTTGAATGGCTGGCTAGAGGAAGAAAAAAAGAATTGACACTGTCACTTCATTATCCTCCCATTCAAGGATGTCTCTTCTCTCTTGTTTGACTCCGCACAGAGGCAGCAGCAGTCGCCTGATCTTGTCACTTTCATTCTGGAGCTGAAGACCGTCTTGGTAAGGAGGAGAATGACACGGTCACTTTGACATTTGTTGCTTCATGAATAAGAAGCAAAAGGAAAGCTAGAGGCGCTATCAATAGCCTGATCTGGAGGTACCAAATACATGTTTGTTTTGTTAGATTAATGAAAAGTGTAAGAACCTATGTGCTCGCCACTAAACACTTGCATAAGACTTACTGGCCCTGCTTGGTGTATTCATGCTATTCGCTTTTAGTATAACGATGAAGTTGTGATATGATGTGCATAGTAATCAGGGATTAAAATAAGAAGCATCCTCTCTGTTGTTGCAGGAAGTGGGTCTGAAGAGCCGCCATGAGTGCCGCTCCATCCCGCCTCCACAGTATTACGCTCAGCTCATCTCTGAGATGGAGACCCTTGGGTGGGGCAAGTAAGTGACAAATACTAGCAGTGTTTAAAGGAGCATAAAGCCTCTGATCAGACAGAGTGTCACACAAACCGTGAACTCTTCGCTAGCTTATTTTAGTTTCCTTGAACCACTTATACGTCTTTTAAACAGATATTTCTGATGCGTAATCTTTCAATATAGTAGTTTTACTGATAGTTGCGAGTACTTGTTTGGCTTCTAGTGATGACTTAAGGTTATTTGACTGGTGGTTGATTAAAATAAGATGAAATAGTTTCCAAACTCATTCAATAAAAAAATAGGCTTTTACAATAGTCAAACAAATCAAAAGAGGCAAAGCTCAAATAAAATGATAAACAGATTTCTATCATCTTTCTTTCCAACACGCTGTGCAGACTACTGCTTCTACACAGCTTGCCCCTATCGGTGGCACTTGAAGGCTGGCGCTGTGGGAATTGTAGTCTTTTACAGTCCATTGACTACAGAGATCATTAGTAGGGTACAATATTATTTGACCATGACACAAAAACAAAAACTGGCTCTAACGGTACACTTTAAATGAATGAAAACAACTTATCTGAACCCACAAACACTCATTATCTCTCAGGCTGTTGTTTTCTGTTCGAATCATGGTAACTACGTAAGATCATAATGCTCCAAATATCCAGTAGGTAAATAATCATTGGGAATAAATGATTTAAAAATATTTATAAAGTTGGGCATCTTTTCTCTGTGTTTTTCTCAGTTTTTTCACTTTTTAGCGAAGCATTATCAGGGAGAAAAGAAATGAACTTGTCAGTAATTGAAAACAACTTCATAAACACACTGCTGTCTGATCAGGGCTTAACCCTCTACATGTCAGCTTACCTGTTTTGTTTGTGGCTAAAGTTACTGTTGTTTCCTCCAATGAGTCAAATTGCATTATGCTAAATCCTAAACAGTAGTCTGTGGTAATCAACTAGTGTTAACTAGTATATTTTTGTGTTTAGAACATGTGATGGAAAACTTACTAAATGTTAATAGTTGTTGAAATTGAAAAAATAGGTGAACCAAATTTTCCCTGTTTCATATTGAACTGAATATATTCTATATTTGTAAACGAGCAAGCTTTCTGAGGGCCCATTCCTTCCTCAAATGGCATCTGAATGAGGCGTTGGTGGTCCAGCTGCCATATTCTCACAATATCCTGTGTGGTTGACTGCCATTGGCCTGAGATATAACTTTCTACAATTGCACTGGTCGATGTTTGTCTGTTGTGTCGTTGTGTCACATACATTTTTTGGCGACTAAACCCACACACTTACCCATTTCGCTGATTTCAGATAGAAGCCACTAGCTTGACACAACTCTAGCACGGCGTCACCAGGTGTAAATAGGTTTTATAAACGGACCTACAGTAAGAATCAAATGACAAAAAGAGGTATTTTCTCCAAATGAACAACTATTTTTGTTTATCATGTTCCTATCCCCCCTTACATGGTCTCAGGATACTCTGAAAGACATTTACGTGCAGAACTGATGGAGCTTGTTTCACGTTGATATGGTTCTCAACTCTGTACTTTGCTTTTCTCTTTAGAAGCTACATGCTATACACCTCAGAGTTTCGGGGCCAGTTATTATTAAAAATGTACATTTTCTGAGACTTCTTTGACTTTTTGTTTACTTTCCCCAGAGGTGCGATTAACATAGTGTATACATAGCTAGAATCCTCTGGTGCCTTACAGAGCTATATGGAGCAGTCCTTGTTTTCCCCCCAGCAGTGATTGTAGCGCCAGCAAAAACACAGCTCCACATTAACAAATGGCTCTTAATGACTTCCTTATTTTTAGTTATTGAGTTACATTTAAATCCAGGTCACATTTAATAACTCTCACCCACGTGCAGCGACAGACCCGGCTAATACCGTCGTCTCCTCTCGTCAGCAGGGAAGGGGGGTGGTGGTGCTTCGTGGGAAGATATCTATTCTCCCCCAGCTCGGATTAAGCCTTGACTACTACACTCATTTTCCACTTTCCTATTAATGACCACGGCTACAATTATGATATTAGCAAAATGCAAATGGCTCTAATTGAAGACTCTCAGGTTTTAATAGGAGAAGGGGGAGGGGGGGTGAAGGTATGCTTTATGCTGAAAATGGGACCAACATAATTTTCAGTGTCGTGTTACGGTTAGCAGGCATTATACACAGTGGGCCTCAATCTCCAAAGCACTCGAGATTCGCTTAGCGTCTTAATTGGTATGGGCCGTGCTAATAGCCACCAGGGGTTTTCAGCTGTAATTCTGTCTGCTGATTGGCCCAGGTAAGTGAGTCTTCCTCTCTCTCCGCTCCCTCTCTGTGTGTCTCCATCCCCACGTTTGAAAGTGTGGTCATCTTAATTGGCTGAAGATGGCATACCATGTGTTAATTAATGGAAAATGAGGTCAAGTAGGTCAGCCGCCATCACTCGGTGGCCCTAAAACCGTGGCCCTGCACGCTATGGTGCTCATTACGGGCACAGCTGGCACTCATGTTCGCAGCCTCTTGGTGTACCTACCAAGGCTCCTCTTATCACAGTGTAACCACTCTGTCACAGTGTGTTTCTGCTCTTCTGAGGGCCAGGTACAGCAGCTCTCTGACAACGGGGCCACATAGGCCCGGAGCTGAGGGATTACATGCTATCATGGATTTTTTTTTTTGTGTCGTATTTATTTTCTTACATTATTAGGCCAGCTAAAATGACTACTGGGATGTAAATGCATTCTAATTTAGGATTGAGAGGTAATGTGCAGTTAGTAATGAGGTTGTCCTGGTTAGCACAGTTGGACTGCAAACCAGGCTTAACTAGCAAGGACAACGCCACAACAGTAGGTCAGTTAAAGATTTAATTAGAGGAGATATTGAGCACTGCTCAATGTAAGGAGTGAAGTAAGATGAGGGATCTCGTCCAATAGGCCCCCAGGAAGTACCTCTTATTAGACAAGAAGTATGCACCAGATTAAATGGAACGAGAAAAGGGTAGACAGGAAAAAGGATAAAGGGGTGTAAGAATGGAGGGATGAATAGATGAAGGGAAGGGAGGGATGAAGGCTCAAAGGGAGTTTGGGATGAATGGAGGAAGAGATGTAGGGAGGGAGGTAGGGATGAAGGGTCGAAAGGATGCAGAGAGAGAGGGAACGATGGATAAAAGGATGTAAGGAGGGAGGAAAATATGTAGGGAGGGGTTAAGGAATGTAGAGAGGTAGGGAAGAAGGTTTGTAGGGATAAGGAGATCTAGGAAAGTAGGGATGAATGGAAGTACAGAGGGAGGAAGGGATGGAGGAAAGTAGGGATAACGGTCAGTAGGGAAAGAGCAAGGGATGTAGGAAAGTAGGGATGCAAATATTTGGGTAAAGATGAGGTGAAAGGCTTGAGAGGTAAATCAGGCCGAATGTGTTATCCGGGTATAGGTTTTTTAGCAGCTGGTTAAAAGTGTTATGGAGGCGTGTCCCGGCTCCCCAATCAAGTTGATTAATATGTCTCTAGGTGTAATAAGATAAGTGCCTTTCTTCACTTGGTTTGCACATACAGTGCTTGTTCGTCGTGTCTTCTAATGTACCTTTGTATGCCATCTTACAAAGTTCTCGTGCAACACACCGCAGTGCATATGTGTTATTCTCACCGTTCATTAATCACTTTGTTGACACGCAAAGAAAAAAGAGAGAGACATGGGCACACACACCATCACAAATGTGTGTGGTGTGCACTGTCTGGAAGAAGCTTGCTTGGCTGAAGAGTTGCAAATGGGATGCTCTCATCAGTCTTCCCAGCAGGACGCCTCACTGTCACGCTGCTTCCATCATGGCAGCTCGTCCCTGCTATCCTGAGTGTAATACCTCAGAGTAGAGGAAATGGAAATGTGTGTTTAACTGAAACTGATGCAGTAAGTGAGAATACTTTCTTACTGCCTATACTACTTTTGATAGTTGGTCATCTCAATGTGCAGCGGTTTGTTTGTTGAAAAAGCAATGAGAGCTGCAAGATGATTAATGTTTAGCCAATAAGCAGCAGGGGCGGGATTAATGGCATTGACAAGCAGTTGTCAAGATTGTAGGCATGTCTTCTAAATAGTGTTGTATGAATGAGTCCTAAACCTGGAAATAAGTTAGCATTTTACAACCTATTCCCTTGTCTCTTTTTTTGATCGAGTTATTGTGAAAAAATCAAGGGAGCCCTTGTGATTCTAACTTCCAGGATGCCCTTCAAAAATATGTCTTCCACATTCTCCTCTTAAATTGGTTAGAAAGGAAGCAATATAATATATGCAGGTACTGTAGAGCAGTGAGTGGTATTCATATACTACCAGGTGGCTTTAAACATGTGTTATGATGTCTGGCTTTTTAAAACCTCCAAAAAAAACGTTGTATGTCAATTGGACACAACCGACTGCAAAAGTTACCTGCTGTGATTTACTCAGTGTCACGACTGAAATCGGAACAAAGAGAAACAGTGTTCTGCAACTAACAGCACTTCAGCTCAAACATTCAACTTCTCATTTATGGATTTGTTCATATGGCTGCTTGTCACTTCCTTCACTTGCACAGGTCTATTAACCGGTCATGCTTGACAGATTTGTGTATTTATTGCTGTTAGCAGTAATGGGTATTTTATAGGCCTGTACACTTTGTAAATGTGTACTGGAGGATATAAAAGTAACTTGGGTCTGCAAGAAGTTCTTTGCTGCAGCTAGATTATGTTGGCCTGGTTGGTTAGTGTGCTTGTTTGTGTGTGTTAACAGGAGCAGATAAAGCAATTTGTTTATAAAATCTTACTATGCCAATAGTTTTACAGATACGAAATGCGGAGGTCAAATTGAGCATGTAATAAAGTGACTCAAAAACATATTGAGATTATCATGATATAGAATGGTGCAGGAATAAGTCTGCGTTCACACCGGACGCGATGCGAATATTCGCTTCGCTCTAATCGCTTCGCTCTAATCGCTCCTATCGCATCGCTCTAAACGCTCAAGTTTCACCGCGGCTGTCAGCTGTGTTTACTCGCGTCATTCAAACAAGACGCGCTGGCTCGGGAGCTACAACTACAACAAAATGAACATATTTTACCGTGATTAAATTGTAATACACGTTTCTAAATGATGCCGAAGTAACAACATACTGATACCGGTTAGTAAAAACCATGAATTAATCAAGCGGCAAACTCTGGGGAAGAGCCGGGACGCCAATACGGAAGTGCCACAAACTGCAGTTCATATATTGGCCGATAGGCGATGACTGCAGAAAGGAGCAATTTCCATAGACCCCCATGTTAAAATGCCCAATTTCACAGCAGAAAAAAACATGTTTCTAGCCCTGGATGCAATAAATATTATTATGGATATAGTTAGATTCCACCTTCATGATTATGAATCTGTGAGTGAATTGTTTTCTAACGCGACCCTTTTATTTATATTAGGTCTTAAAGTATTTGCATAGATTAGGGCGTGGTCACTAACAGCAACTTGTCCACTCTGCTAGGCTACAACGTTAATTAGTTGTAGTTACTGTACTTGACCCTTTAGCCGTGTTCGTGGTGATTGTGCCTTTTAGGGAATATTGTTACAAATACCAGACAATTAAAATGTCGTGCTGTGCGCTTGAATGTACTAACAGAACTTCCAAGAAGTCTAAAATGATCATATTATACATGTTAACCCCGTTAGCAGGTGTTTGTGTGCTTGTTAGCTTAGCTTGTTATGTAGCTTATTAGCCAGCTAAGGACGTAACCCTTTATACATGTGTATATATATATATATAAAGACTTTTATAGTATATGGCTATGACGCCCATAATGCTAAACGGGAGCAAATGTTAAAAGGGGACCCAATTATCCCAGTGGTGGCCGCCGGAGCTAACGGAGCCGCAGGGGGCTAGCTCCAGCCGGCGTCCAGCTCCAGCCGGCGTCCCGGAGCCCCCGGGCGGTGGAGTCCGGCGTTATAACTGGAGATCAAGGAATGCAGCGAAACGCGGACTTGGTTCGCCTGCAGCCCGCTGTAGTATTAGCTAAATAAATTATGTTGAACAAGGCTTATTAAGCTGAACATCGCCACAATTGTTCTGCTATGTATCGGTACTTCTTTTATTTTATTAACGTGATGACAAGCATTAAGAATAACAAAAAATAGCAAATTCTCTTGCAGATTGTCTCGTTTGATTATGAATGTAACGTTTATATAGGGGAACTACACTGTTTTATCAAAACCAAAGTGCCACGCAGTAACTTGGTTTGCATGTATTTCATGTTAGCTTAGCTTCTTAGCCTGAGCTAGCTCTGTTTACTTCCAGTTCGGAGGCAGCAGGTCCCGCCTCGGTTCCGCCTCTTTGCCCTTATTTGGAGCAGGCGGGAGTTAGACTCTGACGTCACTGTCGAGCCGTTAGTGGCCGACTTCGCCTACTAAGGGCTTCTCGGCAACTCTGCAGAATCCTATGGGTGACGTCACGGACACTACGTCCATTTATATATACAGTCTATGGAATTAATGCTTGACAAGTCTGCAGACAAGACAGCAGGCGAAAAACCTTTTAAAATGCTTGTTTTCTGAATGAAGATCGAGTCGACCAGGCTAAGCTAACGTTGTATATGCTCCGTCCACACTCATAACAACGGCCTACAGACATAAATAAACCAGCGACTGTATTCGCCATGACACAGACAGTCTGTGGTTTGTACTTGTTTAACTTTTGTCCAGTTTCTGAACAGATATGAGGAGCTGTGAGCTCTGTGTGCTAACTGCTAACAGCTAACGGCTGATGTTTTCTGGTTGAACGTCAGTGACGGCAGGCTGAGATCCTCACCGCTGATAGGCTACCGCGAGATCGCGTCTCGCGAATATGACGCTAGAGTTGAAAAAATTGAACTTGAGCGTTTGTCGTGGCCCCCTTCAATCGCCTCAATCGCGCTGCGGAATTCACGTCCACCGCTTCTTGCTTGCCGTCGGAGCGAATTCGCATCTGTCCGCGTCTCTGCATTGACTTTACATGTAATCGCGCCGCCCCCAAACATCGCATCGCGTCCGGTGTGAACGCAGCATTAGAAACCCAGACATTCTGGTTCCCTCGTCTCAAATGTAAAGTTTTGTTTTATAGGTAGATGCCTGAAATAAGATCTGTGGTTACAAAAGCTTACAAAAATGTTTAATTTTGTTCGACTAAATTTGCAGGTAAATACAAAACAGCAGTTGCTACCAAACGACTAAATCAATCCTATTTTCTGCAATATTCTGAAATCCAAAGGAAAAGTCCCATTGGTTTTGTTTGAGGGACCCTTATCGATGCTAACTTTTTGGTATCAGCCTTCAAAATACATCATCACTGCACAATTATTTGGTGTGTTTATGTGTAAATGTAAGTGGGCACATGACTCTTCAGTACCGTTGCCCTTCGCCAGCGTTTATTTGCAAGTGCGTGAGCGAGTAGATGCTTTAATGAAACGGGGAACATTTGAAAACGGTCTCCCATCATTCCATCACTTCCCTAAGTGTGTGTGTGTCATCCCTGAGCACACTCCTCTCTAACACACTCCATAAATCCTCGGCAGATATACAGCCATGTCAGCCTCGGCACACAGCGTCCGTCGTAATGTACTGTAAATCTGGAGAGGCACTGTCCAAAGCCTTTGTCTCGGATCAGTCTTTGTTTCCAGTGGACTAGAGGAGGACTTGAGAGGGGGAGGATCTGGCTCTTTCATAGTGTGCTGAAGCAGCTGTAAATCTGACAGCAGTGTTGGTGCACGCCCGGGCCACATCAGTGTTTGTCCTCAGCCTCAAAAGGTTAGAATTAGCCAAGGAGGGAAAGGGTCTGATTTACAGGGCGCCTTAAGCTTGAAAATGTGAACCCACCGCAAGGTCACTGAGAGAAACATTAATCTACTGTTAGTTTTAAGTTGTGATGCTACTGTTGGTATGAAACTTTCTAATTTAAATGGTCAATTTGTCTGGGAATACTTCAATGTACCAGACAATTTCTGGTAAAATATTATCTGAGTTTGTTGTTGAGCTTATAGAATTACTGATAGTAAGGCTATATAAAGATTGTCATCACAAGGCATGTAGATTTATATTTTATTGAAAAGTAGGCCGTTAAAAAAAAACAAAAAAACAAGTCCAATCGATAGACTTTTGCAACATTTTTTTATAAATAAATATTATGGAAGCCTACGTTGTAACTGTGGACACAATACATTTCTATCAGGTTTAGGACTCAATATTATTGTTTAAAATAAATAAATGGAATAAAAAAACTTTTTGTAAATGTATATCTTTTTTTCATTGCTCCTGAAAGCCTATTTTTGTGCTTTTATGCCTACAAACCCAACATTTTCCTGTTAAATTATACACTTGTTACTGTGTAAAAGTTTCCCCAAAAATCATTTAGGCAATCAAGAGAGAAATATTATTATTTAAGGGTAGGCCACTCACCTATTAAGTATGATCAATAATTATAATAAAGAAAAAAAGGGTTTTTTGATTGTTGTGTAAGTGTAATACATTTGCTCAACTGTCCTTCTGCATTTTGTGAATACATGTGAAATTGCAGGTTAATTGTATTGCATCACACACCATTTTTCATTATCAGTCAGGTGAAGAGCGTAGAGAGTGCACCTACATTCCGTATGTTTGCTTACATTTTTATTAGTAAGCACAAAAAGCAGGTGTTATGTGGTGAAACAGAATCAAATTAATACCCTGAGCATCAGCACGATTGCTTTTGCTGTATTCCTACATTAGAGCATTAAAAAGGCACTTGCTGGAGGAGAATGCAAATAAGAATGTATAAAAGAAAAGCCTTGAATGCGGAGCTGTAGCCTGATGTAATGTCACCGCGTTGGTACCCGGAGTGATAAATCTAAAGGCAGAGTTGATGTCTCAATATTGCTCTCTGCTGCTGTGATTAATGGCGGATGATGGCTGCTGTCAATTTACAGTGTGCTCTACGCTTCTCTGTGAACGTACGCTGATTTATTGTGTTCGTGTCTTCAGGCTGCTCTTCATAGACACGGAGTTCCGAACGTTGAGACTGAAGGCGGAGGACTCCTCCAGAAGGCAGCACATTCTCAATATCAAACTCAAGTCTAAGGTACGACACACTCCCTGAGCGTACGGAAACACACACACACACAGTTCACTGTAAGGACTGGATGATTTTCACACTGAATTATTCATGATCAAATGGAATACTGTTGACCTACAGCCAATCCAAATCCAAATACAGGCTGACTTTACCGAACGCATATGGGACGTTCAATTTGCTGATAGCAAATCAGTGATTTACATCTGCGCCCCTAAATCTAGGTCAAACTGGAGAGGGTGTGGAGAGACATGATAACCCACTGTGACTGAGATGTAGCACAGATAAAACATCTCCACATAGACCCCAGCATGATGGAAAACCTTCATCTATGCATAGAGAAAAGCCAATACACCCACCACTCATCTGCATAGCTGCTGATTCTGCTCTCTGCTGAGAGAAGTACACAAAACCTTCACCTGCTGTAGGTACAAAAAGTAAATGTCGGCTGGGGAAATAGCAGAGCGTTTTGAAATGTTTGCATTTCACAGATCTCCAAAGTGTCAGATAAGAGGTGACAAAGTGTGTTTTATGATACATTGTCCTGAAAACAAATTATGATTTTTGTATTGAATTGTAGATTAATCTAGACTAGTCTTGGAGTGTCACTAGAATACTCCTCCACATTCTCAAAATCTGTATGAATAACATTTTTGTGAGAAAAAATTGCTCCTTGTGTTGCTACTAGTAACTGTTTTCAATAGGCTCAAGGATACCCACTAGGGCTATAAAGAGTTTACCAGCTCCTGTTCAAGCTGCACTACGTTTTTTTAACATGTTTGTGGTGAGATGCCTGAAATAAGATTTGTGGTTAATACAACCTTAAGAGATTTTTAGGTATTGTTCTATGACATCAAATACAACAAATAATAGACTCTGATGAATGACTGAAGCTTATATGTGTCCTAAAAATACTGGCTGCTTACAAGTGGCTAAAAGAGACTATTAAATGTTTTCACACCAAACATTAACCTCCTTTAGCTTAGCAGTGGAGATGCACAGCAATGGGACCGTGATGTATTTAGTTTATATCTCAACGGTATTTATTTGACTTCTGCCGATTGAATTTACGAAAACAATCAAAAATCATAAAAGCGGTGTTAATATGTGGAGATTATCCTGGTGAACAAAACGTCTCCAAATGATGAACATGCTTTTGCCAAAGATTATTTTCTGCAATATCCCATAAACCAATATAGAAATCGTGTGGAGGGACCCCTTGTAATTCTAAATTTCATTTCATTTCATTTCAAACCTTTATTTAACCAGGTAGGTCCCATTGAGATCATTGATCTCTTTTTCAAGGGAGACCAGCAGAACCTGCAAATTACGGGCAGGCCTACAAAAATACGTCATCCCGCTCTATTGTAAAAACAAATACTTCACTACTATTGAAACCGAATAATGAAGTTTAAGTACAGTCAGCAATAATGGCCAGAACTATAAAGTTATATTGACGTTTCACTTACTCATGTTGTGGTTAACGCAAGGGATTCATGTCTATCAACTTTGACAATAAGGAAAACCTCTTGTGACACAAGAGTGCATCTTCCATGGTCCTGTTTTCCCGTTTTGGGAATTTTACTATTTCGGTATCTGAAATTTTTCTTCAAATCTCTGTCAGGATTGAGCTTCTAGAAGCTGGCAGGATTGTTAGTATCTCACAGTGGGCCTGCATATTCTGGGCGTAGTGAGGTGGTGCTTAGCTAAGCCCAGATGATATCCACTGGGGACAAGGGAGGGTGGTGGGACCCCACTCTGTGTCCACCTGCCCACCTGGCCCACCTCACCCCTCTGGCACCCGGTAAAAATAGCTTAGAGTGCATTCCAGCTGCTTCCACCGGATCCAGCGCCAGGTCATCCCTCACCAGGCACAGCTAGGGGGGAGGCAGCACTGGCAGGGACACATAGAGACTGGGAGGCAGGGGAGGGAGAGAGGAAGAGCTCAGGGAAAGGACAGGAAGTAGCTTGATGTTGAAGGTGAACCGGGAGAAGAGATCTGGCACAGGTGTTCTGACCAAAGCTTCTTATAGAGGAACATGCTTCTGTAGGCCGGCCTGGAAGCAGTGTATCCGTTAGAATACAATTGTGCCGGTCAAGGTGACCGGTAAGATGTCAATTGACCGGACAAATGGGAAAACATCTGTCAAATATTATCTGTATTTGAGCTTGAAAATCATAGAAAAAGACATCATCGAGGCATGTAGATTAATATTTTATTTAAAAAACAATTTAAAAGAGATTCAAGCTTGCATAACCACCTAGAGCTGTCTGTAGTGTTATTTGTACACAAGCGCACTTGTGACGTGCACACTGTGGCTCGTTTTGAAGGATACGTTACCGCTGTCAATAACACTCTTGTATAACTAAACAATGTGACCATGTACGAGAGACGATAAAAAGTTCATATCCATAAAAATACAGACAGTTCAGTTTATTCATACGTTTTCATCAAAGCAATTTCATTATTGTAACGATATGGAATAAGGCAAAAAAAAGATGTGTGGCAAACAAACTTTTATGATACTTACATATTTTGTTCAGCAGAATAATATCTACATATGAACACCACTTTTTACAATTTTGAAGTGTAAATGCTAATTCTAGAAGTAAAAAGCTAACGTATTGCTACATGTACTGACATGTTCTTAGTCTGTATTAATCACAGACCATATTTTGGGAAACTAACCACATTTAAATGTCTATTGACTTTGAGACAAGGGAGCTTAAGTGCTAAAATGCTAACTTGTTTGGAACTTTCATAAAGATATAAGTAGGTTTAAGTAACATAATAAAGATGACTAGCACTAATAGCAAATACTAGACAGTCTTCAAGTAATAACCAAGAACAAACAAAGGCAGGCTTCTCATAAAGGCCAGACATACAGTACAGCAACAAGGAGCGGTGGAGTTACCTCTCATTGTTACGTAATACAGAAGCAGCTCTCTAACGGTCCTGTCTTCTCCACCCTTAGCACCCTGTGGAGGCTCCTGAATGCTCTGCTGACCTGCCAGTGCCTCTGGCCATGACATGGACACCACAGGTATGTGCAATGATACAGTGTCAACAGTAACTATTTATCCATCCCTCAATTTGTTTGACAAAGTAAATGGTTAGCAAGCAGTGTTGAAGGTAACTAAGTACTGTACTCAAGTACTATTTTGACCAACTTGTACTTTACTTGAGCATATGTATTTTGTGCTACTTATACTCCTACTCCATTACATTTCAAATATTGTGCTGTTTACATCAGGCTTACACATAAAAACACATGATAACTGAGACAAGGGAACCGGACATGGTAAAAAGCAAAGTTATTTCTGCGTTTAAGGACTTACTGCAACACTTTATTTATAAATAGTCAGCCAACCCGTCCTCAATTATCCTTTATGTACTGTATAGATCATGTCAGTAAATAAAAAAAGCCAAACTCAATCATCGTCACTTCTTGAGATCTCTTTGTGCTAAACCTCCGAGCCTCGCATTAGGAAAAGGTTGATGTTTCCATCTAATAGTTGTAATGTGAGCTCAAACTGTGATTAAGGGCCACATCAATACACTTGACTCATCCTGGTGCATGATTGGACAAAACACTTGTCTTCTGTAATAAGACGTTTTATTCCCGCCCCTCAAATTGAGTCCACTGTAATTGTCATGAATGTGTTTTGATGTGAAACCAGCTGTGGGCTCTTTGTATCTCTTTGCTTCCTCGTTATTGTTGTTTGCCGTCTCGCTTCTTTCACTCTGCCTCTGCTTTTCATCTCTGTCACTGCCTCTGAGTCTGTGTCAGACAAACACGTCTTTTTTTTATTTATTTTTTTGCTGTACTTTTTTTTTTCCAGTCACACCAGTCGCTCTGGCCATCATAACAAGTACTCTCAGTGGACAGGCTTACTAGTGTTTTAAGTATGTGTGTGCGTGCGTGCGTTGAGTGAAAGTGTAGGCAAAAATGAAAGCCAACATTGAGAACAATTATTTAAGCAGAGAGGTGTGTGTGAGTGTGTGTGTGTGTGTGTGTCATTGAGCTGATACATGGCAGGCGTACAGTGAGGACCAGCTTAGAACAGCGCTGCCGTATGGAGCCTGTCTGCCTGCTGCGCCGTTGATGGATCTCTCCCACCTTGCAACATGAAGTGTGTGTGTGTGTGTGTGTGTGTGTGTGTGTGTGTGTGTGTGTGTGTGTGTGTGTGTGTGTGTGTGTGTGTGTGTGTGTGTGTGTGTGTGTGTGTGTGTGTGTGTGTGTGTGTGTGTGTGTGTGTGTGTGTGTGTGTGTGTGTGTGTGTGTGTGTTGTGTGTGTGTGTGTGGTGTGTGTGTGGTGTGTGTGTGTGTGTGTGTGTGTGTGTGGTGTGTGTGTGTGTGTGTGTGTGTGTGTGTGTGTGTGTGTGTGTGTGTGTGTGTGTGTGTGTGTGTGTGTGTGTGTGTGTGTGGCGGGGGAAGGCCCTGTCTGTCGGCAGTCCTGACATGTTCATTTGAATGAGTAATTATTGCCTGCTCTGTTGCAGGGCCAAGACATGCCACTCAGTGCATTTGTGTGGAACTTGAATTGGAAGAGAAATAAACCTGTGTGTTTGTCTGTCTATGTGTTTAGTTTGTGTCCTTTGTGCTAGGAGACTACACCAAGGTGGTTTTTAACAACCAAAACAGGGTTCTGTGTGAATAAGACGCTGGATGGACACCAGGGCTACAGTTAAATGCAAATTGTAGCCTGACTCAAAGTCCTGCCTGTTTGTTCAAATATATAGATTCTATATTTGTTTTCACAATACATTTGAATTATTTGTTTAAATCACAGCTGATACCTCAGTTATGAAAAAGCCAGTCATGAGCTTAAAACCATATTTTTTGGTGATCATGGCCATGGGGTGCTATAGTACTTTAGTTTGTGTGATTACATTTGTAAAGCTGTAACTAGTTAGAATTAGTTATGGTTAGTAATAGTTAGACTGAATATTGATCTAATTTGTCATTACTTATTGTTTTTTAATTGAATTATTCAATCAATTGTATAAGCACTTGAAAGAGTCAGCAAATACCCCATTGGTGAATCTCTGAAGCTTTTATGATTTTTATGCTTTTGCTATCATGTGACTAAATAAGACAATTAAACGTCATCATGCCGCACATTAGCCGCCTTTAGCTTAGCGGTGGTGAAGTGAAGTCATTCAACTGTTAGTTACTTCCTTCATTGCCTTACATTAGCATTTCACTTTATTTACACTAAAACATTGAAAAAGGCGTGTTGATATGTGGAGATTACCCTGCTGAGCCAAAGGTGTTACTCTTCTGCATTTACTGACATACTATAATGCTGTATTCACATGATACGCGGTGAAACGGCTCTGCGCTGCCGTTGTGTTTCTATGAGTGTTGCCGCCCGACTGGCGGAAGTGCTACCTTTGCTGTTGATCACTGCTCGAAACTGTTGCAGAGCGCTGCACTAAAAGTTACAATTATTTGAACTCTGACTTTGTGCTGCTCACCTTTCAACGCGGTACCAATCAGGTAACAGCCCAAAGAAGGGCCATAAGCTAGAAGGGTATGTCATCATGGAAACACAACCTAACTAGCTGTTGACTCGTGGTGAACAAAGGGCAAATTGTGTATCATTTGAATGCCGCTTGAGAGTTGATTAGTGATCTACTACGAAATGGCCAGATTAGGTGTTATCTTGTGATTTCAAACCCAAGGGTATTCTATAAATACATTCCATTCTATAGTGCAATGTCGATGATGTAAATAAGAGGGAAGCCTGCCTGCCTTTTTTAAGCGCAATTAAGGTCAGCCAGAGATGGCATAAATAGATAAAGAGTACTGATTGAGGATCAGATCTCAGCTCAGATTCAGTGTCTTTCATACTTTCTTACAGCTTTCTGCTCTCACATGTTCTTCTCAAAGATACAGCAGGAATTAAATTACCAGCTCTTTTTATTTTTTCTTCTTTCTGAACTGGGCCGAGCATAGTTATCCTGAGCTGTAACCGTAATCATGCCACTGGCATTAATTGGGCTGTAATTGCCGAGGCTCTCAGCACCTGGACGATGCTTAATTGTGTGCACTGTGCTGGCACAATGACCCATAATTTTTGGTTCATTTTACCCACTAATTTTTTCTCTCTCATTCCATCTGTATTGGTCTCTGACACCTCTATCAGCCTCCCTTTCTCTCCTCTAAGTGTGAGAGTGTGTGTGTGTGTGTCTGTGTGTGTGTATGTGTGTGTGTGTGTGTGTGTGTGTGTGTGTGTGTGTGTCACAATGTTTGTGTGCTCAAAGTTGTTACCGTTTTAACCAACCTGCCAATTGATATATGCACTTTCAGTTCACTCCAGTTTCCCTGTGAAAAATAGTATTTTATAGTTTTAAGTGTTGACTTATTAAAGTTACTTGTTTTGTCCGACCAATCCAAAGTCGAATAACTACAAGTGCTTAGTTTACTACCAGACAATCAATGAAAATTAGGGGAAGCAGGAAGCAGTGACTGTAGCACAACCATTAACATACACCTGCAAAAAAAAAAACTACAGACATTCCCAGCAGCCTCAGCTGTACAGTCCTTTGTGTGCAGTTCTGATTAGCAGAAGCATGCTAATATTTTAATGAAAGATGGGGAAAGTGGAAAACGTTATGCCTGTTTAGCATCAGCATGTTATCATTGTCATTCAGAGTATGTTAGTGTGCTAATGTTAGCATTTGACTTAGAGTACAGTCTTAAGCTGTGTGTCCACAAAGCATCCTTTTCAGGCTGAGCCTCATATCAGTGTTTTATCTACGGTATCTTGACAGCGTATCACTGCTTCTGTATGACAGACTAGCTTCGCCTCTAGATTATTTATGCTATATATTTGTTTGAAAATGTTTCACCATGAACACCAACCAGAAGTTTGTTTGAATGAGCTTCACTGTGCAGTCCGACAGCTTTAGAGTGAGGAGGATAATGTGTATAGGGCAATAAAAGTTCAACTCTTACAGGCAGCAACTATCAGAAGAAAGAGTCCTGGACTGGGCCGTTTGAAGAACTTCCTCCTTAACCCTTAAAGTTCTACACTTCTTTTGCATTGTGTGGAGTTCTAACAGGCTCGGACGAATTAGCTGGAGGCGGTCAGAGTACAATGCAGAATAACTTAATTTCACCAACAACACTAAACAGTCCAAGCAGACCCTGAGATCATACTGCTAAGCAACAGTTGTATAAACATATTTATAGCTAAAGCACTCTTAATTCTCGTCAGTGTACCTTGGTGAAGGACCAACCTCTTTGATATACACTTTATGTGCATATATGTTCTAATAGTGGTGCCCTCATTCACTCATCTCTGCAGTTAGTTAGGCCTTGTTTTTTTCAAACTAGTTCACATCCATTCTACTCTTAACAGATACAACATTGAAAATATTAGGTTACTTACAACTACATTGTATAACACAGCATTTCATACAAAGTATCAACAACACAACATCCAGGGTCCACCGCCTTTGCTCCAACAAACAAATTCAAAAAAGACGCCATCACTCAGAAACAGCCGCTATGCGGACTCAGGCCTTTTAAAGGCTTTTTCTTCAAACAAGAAAAAACATGTTAATTATTCAGCTTTATATCTGTTTGTAGGCAATTCCATTTCTTACTATGGACAGGCTAACTGTTCCCCTTGCTTCCAGAAATTACATCTGCTGTTTGGACACGGTTTTGTTCGGTAACAATAAAGAACCAGTAGTCTAACAGAAGCTTTAGGATACATCTGGTTTCTCTTAAAAATAAATGTGCTTTTTCTGATCTTCTTTTCATCAAGAGCACTCTGGAGCAGCTCCACAGTCAGTTCCTGCTGCTCTTGGAGTCCCTGACTGAGTTCTGGGATGTCCTGGATGAGATTGACAGTAAGACGTGGATTCTGGAGCCGGAGAAACCCAGCCGCTCCGACACCATGAGGCGGATCGCCATCGGTACACTTTATGTTTAACTTGAGTTTTCATACTGATCATGCAACTATATATATATACAGTTCATTCAATAGAAAATACATACATAGTAAATGATACATCCCGTCTGTGTGCAGGAAACAACACATCCATCAAGGTGGAGGTGGATCCCAGACACCCAAAGATGCTGCCAGAGTGCTGCCTGCTGGGAGCCGAGCATGGTGGGTAGTCAAACCCCAGAGACATGGCCACACTTGAAAGTTTGTTTTCCGGCACAAGAAGTGTATCTGCACTATTACACACTCAAAGCTGACACACCTTATTAGGGCGTGTGAAATCCTCTCCTTATTATAACACAGGTAGCATGAGGTTTAGGAATACATTGTTTACTAAAGTCCTTGCATGTGACACATACAGATTACACCAAATGTATATTCATTTATTTCTTTCATTTTTTTTATATCAAATGACACATTAGAAAGAAACGTGTGATTCCTGGAAGTCTATCAAAGTCATTTCGAAAGTGTTGCCTACATTTCTTATTAACACTAAAAAAGTATATTGACAACTAGGATCTTATAACTGAAAGGGGCATTTTTGTCCCTTTTGTGTAAATAAGTCACTTGCAATCATGACAATTTGTTAAAGAGGCCTATTCTGCTTTTTGGGGTTTGGTGCATGTAAATGGTCTGCAAAGGCTCAAATCCCTGTGTTCTCTCCCACACACCCCCTCCCTCCCACCCTGCCTGAAAGGCCTCCATTGGACTCCTTTGTTTACTTCCAGAACATAATGACATCACTATGTTCTCTTGGCTAGTGCTCCAACACATTGTACATGTTATGCTAAGAGGCGGGACATTTCCGACACATCTCTTAAAAAGAATGTAAACATGTTTGCATAATATGTCCTCTTTAATCTACCTTAATTCCCCCCAAATGTTTTATCTACATCACATTTTACAAAAAACCCAGAAGCAGCAAATTCTCACATAGGTAGTTGCTTGTTTTGGCAAGTTAAACAATAATCTAAATCATACACTAATCATTTGATTGATTAATTCCTAAACAACTAATGGGAATAACTGTGTCCTGAGACTCTTCATCAGATGCCTGTTTTTATAAAAGAATCGGCCAGCCTAGGATCATCCCAGGCAATAAAGTGCAGATTCAGCTCGCCATTACCCAGATCAGATGGTCTGGACTCCAACCAGACTGCTCGTGTTGCCTGTTGTCTGTCTTCGTGTCAGAAGACTTTGCCACAATGTTTTCATTCCCGCCACGCCGACACCGGAGTCAGCCTGCGAGCTCCGGCTTTCTATTTAAGTCCCCGTCAATTGTCGTCCATTGTTTCTGTAAACCCAAGGTCACGCAACTCCTAGCCTGTTGCCTAGCAATGCAACTCAAAAGATATTAAACAGATACACACTTCAGCCGGCAAGACGGGAGGCAGGCGGAGACCCTCAAATACGAGGGGTCGCGCACAATATTGCTTTTTGTATGTAGGAATAGCAAATAGTGAAAGTGATGAGTGCTGCACGGAGACAAAGCTCCCCGTGGAACAGAGGCACGACGATGGTTCAGATGTGACGGCGCTGGCGGCCTGTTGTCTAATAACAGAGGGCCAGAGTATGCAGAGTGAGGTTTTTTTAAGGCAGTCGTAATTTTCGGAGGGCTTATATACAATAAAAACGGAATCCGCAGGTGCTTGAAATCAAATTTCAAGGCTTTTATTAGTATTACCGTTTACGTTCTACACCAAATAAAACCCTTCTCCTTGTTGCAGTGGTGACTCCGCTGAGGAACAAGCTGAACGCCAACATGCACCTGTGGTAAGGGTTCTGTCTTTACAAGCATTTTGTACTACGTTCTATATCATTCAATTCATTAGATTTATTGTCTTTCAGAATAACTTTTGCTAGATAATGTAATGATCACATTATTATTTACTAAACCTGTACGATTTGGACTTTTGCTTTTGCTCGGTTTTATTGGGTTTAAGATATATAAGGAAGTGATTACTTTTGCATAGTTATTCTCATTTTGATTGAAAATATATTTAGAGGCCCTTCTATGCTTTTGTGGGCTTTCCCTTTCCTGTAGTGTGTTATATAGGTTTTTGTGTATTTAAATGGTCTGCAAAGGCTAAAATCCCAAATGTCCCTCAAGAGAGTTTCTCTCCCACACACTCCCCATTGGACTCCTTTGTTTACTTCAGGAACATAATGACATCACTATGTAACACTCACGCTTCTTGTGGCTAGCGCTTGAACACATTGTACTTGATAGGCTAAGGGGCGGGACATCTCTAAGCGGTTGACCAATCACAACAGAGCCGGCCAGCTAACCAATCGGAGCAGACTGGGCTCTGGTTTCAGACAGAGGGTGAAAAAAGGTGCTGCAGAAAAATAAAGAGCTTTTTGAACATTAAAGCCTGGAGACATGTCATAGAGGAGACACGAAATAGAGAATATGAACCTGGAATCTTGAATAATAGCGCCCCTTTAAAGGGAACATGGTGTGTTTCTCAAAGAGAATCTGTACCAAACAAATACGTTGAGGATCCACTTCAGAAAAATACAAAATGCTGCAGCTCTCTTTGAGTCCTTCATATCTACAGGTACTGTAGGACTACGTTGATGTGTTCCCAAGGACAATAGAACATCTATTTTTATTCCTGGTCATGCTCCATGGTGAACAAAAAACTGTGCTTAAATGGGCAAGAGGAAAGCACACATTAGCTGTTAGCAGCCGGTGGGTAGCACAGTACTGCTTGGCTAAATAATGGAGCTAAATAATAATAATACATTTAATTTATATAGCGCTTTTCAAGTCTCAAAGTCGCTTAAATGCTATGCTAACGTGAACAATCAAGGTTCTATCGAGTTATTATGATATGGTAAAGCCCTATTCAGTCAATGTGAGAATTGGGCATGGGTACATTCTAAGTTATCATGTTGTGTCCAAAAGTAATCTTCTAAAATCATTATAAAATAGATATTAAAGAGGAATTTATTACCTTTTTTAACAAAAAAAACAGTATGCCAATGTTAAAAATAAGAGTATCATAAAGCACTCGATGGTTTTCAATGTTTTTTACTGTTTTTTTTATCTATTCCAGAGTTAAGCATCCTGGAATATTATTGGTATTGACTACATTTCTAGAATTGCGAAATACTAAAGTCCCACACCTATGATTATCATGGAAAAAACCCACACAGCTACAGTACTCTTCAGTTTAAAGTAAAGCACATATTTTAACTCTCACCACAGGGTTTAACATTTGCCTCTCTGCATGACACGTCTGAGGAAAATCTCCTCCACTGCTGTTCAGTTTGAATCAGCTTTAGCTTTTTTCCCTTTCTTTTTTTATACCAATGGTGAAAGTCTCCTAATCATCCCCCAGTGTCTTTGCAGGCTCATTTGCATGTGGTTAATTAGTGTGTGAAGGAGCTGTCTGTGGTCTCTGGCAGGAACCCGGACTCCAGCGTCTTGCACAACCTCCGGGATGTTTTGGAGATCGAATTCCCGTCACCTGCCACCCACGAAAAATCTGTACGTGACACAGTTGCCCCCTTTCCATTTCAAACATGTCCGTTCCCATCACGATTACCTTCAAGCGAGTGTGTTTATGTGTGTGTGTATCCTCCAGTTTGTGCGTCGGTTTGAGCTCCGAGTTATAAGGGGGCGGACATACGATACTGCCTATTTTTCTGTTCATTTCCATATTTTTTCTCTCTGTGTTGTTGTTCCATGAGGTGGGCACAAATTCTCCTTTAATTGGGTTGTTTACAGAAAAGATCATTAGAATAACAAAGATGGCAGAATTCTCGGCACTATCAAATCACTTTAATCACGCAAAAAGCATTTATCTCTCTGTTTCTGAGGCTCGGGCTCCCCCCCTCCCCTCTACGTGGAAGGGGTTTAAAGGGCGCCGTGTTTATCTGCTGTCGCCGCGGTGATTAATGCTTAGGCTTCATTAACATTCAGAGGAGTGCAAAAAAGTTGGGTTGACCAGATGTTGATTTATTTTTTATACCTGCCATCCTCTCTTAATGGATAGCTCCAGAAAAACAGGAGCTTCTCATTATGCCAAAATGCAAACGAGGCGGAGAGAAAAGTGTGTGTGTGTGTGAGGGGGGGATTCGGGGTGTTACAGGGTGATGTTAGCACTGCAGTTTTAACTAGACGCTTGTTTAACACTAAGTGGTTACAGAGGACCTGCCCATATCTTAAGCATCTGTAATGTATGTGAGAAATCACGCTGTGTATTTATTAATTTGTGTGTGTGTGTGTGTGTGTGTGTGTGTGTGTGTGTGTGTGTGTGTGTGTGTGTGTGTGTGTGTGTGTGTAGAGCTTCAGTGTGGAGTGTGGGATCTGTTACTCCTATCGTCTTGAAGATGCGATCCCTGATCAGGTGTGCAATGACCCTCGCTGCGGCCAGCCATTTCACCAGGCCTGTCTTTACGAGGTATGGAGACACACTCACCAAACACACACACACACACACACACACACACACACACACACACACACACACACGACTGTGAGGAGCATCTACTGATTACATAGTTCATGGTTCTAAAAAACTGAAGGTTATGTAAGTGAATAGACAGGTGTCATTCTTAATGTTTCAGTTGAGAATGATAAAGTTAAACACAGGCTTTATGGATAATTAAGATAAAAAAAGATGAATTCCAGTGATGAATTATTCCCCTCCATGAAGTTTGGGGGCTCAGAATAGAATAGTGAAAACATCCAAGCAGCAGAAGCGGAGATATTCTGACATTCAGTGGTATGGTATGTCAAAAAAAAGTATATTGAAGAATATGTAAAAAGTCATAGTATAAAAAAAGTATCAAAAAATGTATTGTATTTCATTTAAAAAATATCAGGGAAAAGTCATTGTATATTATGTCGAAAAAAAGTCAGTGTAGCATCTCGAAAAAGATTTAATAAAACATGACATACAGTAGTATGTCAAAAAATATAAAGAAATTGTCATAGAAAATTATGTCATAATAATGTAAAAAAAACTCAGTATAGTGTGTTAAAGGTCCCATGTCATGCTTTTCTGGTTATTACCCGTCCCCTTGTGTGTTATGTAGCTTTTTCTGCATGTAAACGGTCTGCAGAGTCACAAACCCTCAAAGTACACCCTGTAGCGAGTAAAACTCTAATACAGAAAAGACCTGTCTATGCTGCCCCAGAACGCCTCGTTGGACATTTCTCTTTTTCCATTGTTTTCTTCTTGGGTATAGTGACGTATTTGGGTATAGTGACGTAACGTAACGTAATGGACCAATCCGCGGAGCCGTTACGTTTGGACCAATCCGCGGACTTCCTCACACACACACACTCGGCGGGACGTTGCGAGGCTCGCTGCTGCGAGGAGCGGACAGTGTGAGCTGGCTCACTGGTGTGGGGTCGGCGAGACAGCGAGACACTGCGAAACTCAGCCTGAGCACACACACAAACTCCCAGCTAGGCTGTGGGGGTGTGTGTGTTTCGGGCTGGGTCTCGCTGTCTCGCAGACGGCCACTGGGCTCACAGGGAGGGGGGGGGCAGGAGCTCCAACAAGCCGTTTAGGACAGAGAGTGAATACACATACTATACAGAGATGCTGTATGAGAAACCAATGTGAGTTTGGAAAATTGCACAATATAAATCTATTTTAGTATACCTCAACAATGGAATTATGATCAGTAGAAATGGCCATGACATGGGACCTTTACATATATCATGATATACAGTATATTGTAATAATATTTGATGAAAAGATCATAGTATAGAAACTTGAAAAAATAATAGTAGTTAAGCATGTGGAAACAAATCTGAATATAGTATGTGGAAAAATGTGGCAATTTCATAACATTATGTTGTAAATGTCAAGTGTTGAATTTGGATAATAAGTCATAGTATAGTATTTAAAACATATTTATAAAAATAGTCCATTATAGTATGTTGAAAAGAATGTCATAGTATAGTATGTCAAAATATTTGTAAAAAATACATGGTATTGTATGTCGATAAACATAAAAAGGTCATAGTATGTTTAAAAAAGTTTTAATAAAAGGTCATAGTACAGTTATTGAAAAACATGAAAAAAGTCATAGTATGTCAAAATATTGTGTTAAAAGTCATAGTATTTTGAAAAACATAATAGTATTGTATGTGCAAAGAGTCATATACCGTATATCGATAAAAAAACTCAGTGTGGTGAAAATATTAAGATATATCTATTGTAAGAAAATTAGCAAAGGGGATAGTATAGTATGTTGAAAACATAAAGAATACAAATTATTGTTCATTGTTAGAAAATCTTTTAAAAAAATCATAGAATAGTATGTCCAGAAACTCAGCTTTGCAAGCATAGATTTAACTTTTGTTTCTTAGAGAAACACATAATTCCATAATCTTTGACTCAATGATTGGACATAACCCGAACTCATTTGTGAAAAATAATTTATTCGATCCAATAGTTGTGAAAAAAAAGAAATGTTTTCAATTGCAACAAGATGTGTTTTTATTCTGGAAGAATTATACAATACTGATAATACATTCAATAGTTTTGCTTTTCAGCCTTAATACAACCACAGATTATTTCATTAAGAGCCCATTTGAACAAACTTAATGTACCATAATGTTAAAGTGAGCCAGGTGGAGGATTTCTGTCACAGCATTGGTCCTTCTCAGGTTTGCTACAAATCTTTTAAGTGTTTTAAAAACTGTATTGTTATCTCTGATACCGATAGCACCGTTTTTTTCAGGCACTCGGAGGTAAGGAGAAGGATTATTAAAGGTGGAGCACTGCTGAGGACACAGGAAATGAGCTCCAACTGCCTGAGCAGGGACTACTTTGTTGAAATACTGTGTATAGAGTGGTGCAGTGACCCTAAAGTTAGCATCTTCCTGGTTCCCTTCACCAAAATCAATGGGGATTAAAAAAATACAATCTGTGGCAAACAAACATCTTCGATAAGGATAACCTCCACATATTAACACAGCTTTTATAAGCATAAATACGATAACCAGATTTTAAAATACTAACATCAGGATACGAACAGACTACATGACGTGGCTGCGCTGATTCACTTGTTCGCTATTTAAGACACGTAAAGCTTCATCAGTGTCGTATTTATTGGCTTATTTTATGTCGTTGAACAAAATGTACTAACCACAGATCTTAATTCTGCAATGTAACCAAAGCCCAACAATAAAAACCCAACCAAGACATGTAAACTTGGGAGTGCTAAAATGCTAACTCATTTCCAGGTTTAGCTCCTGCACCACTCTATTCACTTAGACGCAGCATACAGACGTTTCTTTAGAGCTTAGTGTAAGGGAGAAATGCCTTAAGTTCCACATAAAAGCCCTTAAAATGCTTATCTTGAAAAGTGTGCAGTAATAAGTGTACATTGAAACAAGGGGTTATTATCACTTGACACATCGGATCCAAAGTGTATTTTCTTCTTCTCTCCCTCCAGTGGCTGCGAGCGCTCCCCTCCAGCAGGCAGAGCTTCAACATTGTTTTTGGAGAGTGTCCTTACTGCAGCAAGGTGTGTGTGTGTGTGTGTGTGTGTGTGTGTGTGTGTGTGTGTGGTGTGTGTGTGTGTGTGTGTGTGTGTGTGTGTGTGTGTGTGTGTGTGTGTGTGTGTGTGTGTGTGTGTGTGTGTGTGTGTGTGTGTGTGTGTGTGTGTGTGTGTGTGGTGTGTGTGTGTGTGTGTGTGTGTGGTGTGTGTTGTGTGTGTGTGTGTGTGTGTGTGTGTGTGTGTGTGGTGTGTGTGTGATGTGTGTGTGTGTGTGTGTGTTGTGTGTGTGTGTGTGTGTGTGTGTGTGTGTGTGTGTGTGTGTGTGTGTGTGTGTTAGATAAAGGCCTTCACTGCAGCCTCAATAGAACACATTCATCTTACTTAATTAGCACGAATCTTTACATAGCCTTCTCTCTGTACACTGTATTCAGTTTTTCTCATGCTGCTCCTTGCGTGATGCACAAAGTTAAGTGTTTGATACTCCATATCTATCATTTAATCAAAGGCAGTTTTATGACTTTGTTTGGGAATCCTTCATCTACATTCCAGTTAGACACAAGCGCCCACTTCATTTGTTCACAAAGCCATCTCTCGTACCGCATTCAATAAGCTTCTCCTTCTGTTTCAGCCTATTACGGTGAAAATGGCCGCCCAGAAGTCCTAAGAAGTGTGTTCCAGTGATGAAAGACTGGTAGATCCCTTTAATGTTTTTCAAAAAGGTTTGAATTCACGTTGGCAAACACCAAGAGCAGCACCCAGGAAGAAGAAGACGCCGGCGAAAAAGAACATGGAGAACCATCCGTTCCTGCGTGTGGGAGGAGCTTCCTGTTCAGAGTTCTGTGTGTGTTCGTACCCCTGAATCTGAGGCGGGTAACGGTCCTTCTCCTGGAGTTTTAGAGCTGCCCACCCCTGGTTCACACACTCATGGGTGGGCCGCCCTCCCTCCCATCTCCCCCCCTGTGCTTCACAGTGTTTCCTCCTGTGTGATAGGAGCTGTCGTTTCTTTCTCTCCATTGCGGAAAAGCCGTCTGTTTTTCTGCCCGTATATTTCTGTTAAAGATTAAAGTGTTGGCTTTTTATATAGGTGTAAACTTTTTTTTTCAAAACATCTAAACTAATAATTATTTGTTTTATTTAACTTGTGCAAATAAACTTCACAGCAAATAACTGACTGCTGGAGCTTCTCGTCTTCACACCTGTTTGGACTGAGCTCCGGGGCTGGTAGGGGGGCCCCTCAGATAGCATGCAGCGATGGGTCTGGGACTGGCCTCTTCCTCCTCCTCCTCCTCTTCATCATCATCATCCTCTTCTTCCTCAGATTCACTGTCATGTTCCATATAAGTCACAGCACCTCTTGTCCTCAATGATCTGCTGACAGCAGGCACATCTTCAACTTCCTTCTAGGAGAAACAGCAAAGAATAGCTCTTATTTATTAATTGACTCATAAATGTTTGATTGGATTCTTTTGGAGTGCAAAGGTATGTTTCCTTGTATCCGTGTTAATGTGTCTGGATTTAGGAAAATAAAATATTGTTAAATCATTCTCATTCTGCTTTAGCATTCAAAACATCATGAGTCTGTTGAAAGCGTTATTGACAGAAAGACTTTGCCACTTCCTACAGATGATTCCATTATCAACATATGATCTGTATTTGGACCATACCATTGAGAAAGTGAAAATGGAGTTTTCCACTTCAATGCAAGCACTCTTTATTCTCAGTGTTCTGTGAGACGTGTTTAAGATTGAGTCTTGGTTTGATACGTTTTCTTGAGGGATTCAAATTCCGAGATAATTTGTACAAACCTGCTCCCAGGACTATTTAAATGGACGAGAAAGAGTGGTGCGGGAATGAGTCCTTATACTGGAAATGAGTTAGCATTTTACCACTTTAGCTTAGCGGTGGTGATACGCATCGTAATGTAATGTGTATATAGCCTAACATTAGCTTTTATTTACGGTTATTGTAATTACACTTGTAAAAGTGGTGTGAATGTGTATACATTATGATGCTGTACAAACTAAAGGTATCATAAAAGGTTGTTTGGCACATTTTCTGCAATATCTCAAAATCAATTTGGCAAAGATTGTCAATAATCGGTGACGTTTCAGACCTTACCGGTGATTGAGCCTGAGGTTTAGTGAGGGGAGGTCCTCTTATGTAGCGAGCTGGCACTGGTTTAGCCTTCATCTCCTCCTCTTCATCGTCCTCCACCTCTGCGGGGACAGCCTTGGCTTTGGATGGTCTTTTGACTCGTCCTGCTTTCTGTTTGACACAAAGGTGGGAGGGTCTTCCAATTCAACTCTTCCTCTTAATTGAATTATTAAGTTATACCAGAAATCCTTTCTCCGTCCCACAGCGGGGACATTTACAGATTTACAGCAAAGCTAGAGTGCAGATAAAAGGCACATAATAATAAAGGGTATATTGAATTAATAGCAAAATGATACATATTAAATGGTAAACAAAAAACAAGAAGCAGCATTGTAAGTGAACACACACAAGTATTAAAGTAGCAGCCAGTCATACCAATTGTAACATTTGTTAACTTTGTGTAGCAACTTCACTCAGATGACATTAAAATGGACTTTTCTCTCTTAAATAAAACTTCCCCCCAGCATCACTATAATTACCGATAAAATAATAATATATTTATCCAACAGCAGTGGGGAGCTCTTCAGTGATTGGCTGCGCTGAGCGGCCTTTATCTCTGCTGACATTTACTCTGCGCACTAAGCCGCCGGTAAATGGCCACTTCTGTTTAACTAGGGATCAAACTGGCCAGCACTTTAGCATGGAAATGAAATGACACAAGGAGAGGAGCGGGGATCAGGAGCATAATTGGAGCGGCCCCGCGCTGTGGGGGAAGTGTGTGTCATCAACTTCAAATTGGGCCGTGGAGAGGACAGCCGGGGCCCGAGGGGTCAAGGAGTGATTCTGCTGAGTTTGAGGCGAATCACAGTCCTCCTCCACCTGTAGACCCGGTTCACATAATCATTGGGAGGGAGGGGGGCAGGGGCAGGTTAACCCTCCCCTTCACTGCTGTCACGTTTCTCCACTCTGGGGTTAAGAGACTCAAACAGGAAGCCTTGTGACCCGTTGTTCACGGAGTGCAAAAATATTTCATATAAACTATTCCCTGCTCGCTGTGAACCCGTGATCAAACGCTTCTCAATGGCAGGTTTGTTGAAGAGCAGATGAAGATGTTTTTATGTTGCAGAACTCCAAAGGCAGCACACACACCCATCAGCATAAACGGGACAGAGTTTAAACATGTCTCCAGCTTTAAGTTTCAGTGTGTCCACATCCCTGAGGACCTCTCTTGGACGCTTGACACCTCGATCCTAGTTAAGAAGTTTCCCCAGCGTCTTTTCTTCCTGAGAAGAAAAGCCCATCTGTATCCTCAGTGAACTTCTACCACTGCACCATTGAGAGCACTGGATCACAGTCTTGTATAGCATCGCACCGCATCAGACAGAAAAACACAATGCATCATCGGTCCAGCACACGTGGTATCTGCGGGGGGTGTACAGCATTGTCTCTAACCCCCTACAGACGGTTTGCTCTCCTGCCTCTGGAAGGCACTACAAGAACCTCCATACCAGGACAAGCAGGTTCAGAACATGGCTGTATAAAGAGGACTGTATAAAGAGGACTGAATAAAGCGTCGGACGCGGGGCCCCGTCCATTCCTGTGAGAGTGGGTGTTTCTCAATCGCGAGTAAAGCTGCTTCAGAGCCACTATTTCAAGCATACTACGTCATCGAGTGCCGCCGAAGTACTGTTCCAATCTCCAGCATACTTGGAAATCTACCGAGCCCGGCGTACTCCGTTTGGAGAAATATCGAGGCTGCACATGAGTAGACTTCGCGGTCTTAAAATCCTCACAATGCTTTGCGCACGGACCAATTTCCCCAAATCTGTGGCGGAAGATGTAAGGCGGGGCCTCTCATATGACGCACACTTGCTAGCGTGTTCCACACTTCGTTTTCCAAATGTCAGGAAGTATTCTTGACTCGCTTCTGAAGCAAGATGCTCGGCAGACATGTGCTACCAAGCAAGCGTACTCGCGATTGAGAAACACCCACTTGCTTAGTGGAGCATGAAGTCAAAATGGAGCGACTGTAGACTCGAATAGTACCCGGATCATCCAGTGTGGGCCAATAGAGCATGTGCACTTGAATGTTCCTTAAGCCCCGCCTCCGATCTGCCGCTCTCGGCTCAGTCGAAGGAAATGAGGGAAAATAACTCTGGAGTCCACTCTAATGAGTTAAAAAAAAAGGGCTATAAAGTGTTTGTATTGGGTAGTTTATATCAATGGGGAAAAGTCATTTTACCCAATGACGTCACAGACTGAACCAACAGATGTAGCGCCACTACGAAAATATGCGCACTTCCTTAGGGCTTTGTTTCAGGAAGAGCTTTTTCTCCACCGCTGTCTCCTGCATGCACCATGATGACAGCTGTCTGCACCCCCCCCCCCCCCCCACCCCACACACACTCCTGGATACCTTTGACTGACTTTGCACATTAGTCTTAGTCACTTATTCTGTTTATAAACTGTCAAAACGGTTATATCTTCAATAGCGTACTCATATTTATTCAAGTGTCAACGACCGACCATAGTGTATTCATATTTATTCTGTCTCTAGAGTTTGTATTACATAGTCTATATCTATACCAGCTCTGTGGTGCATTACATTTCTTTCCTGACGTTTATACATATACTGTTCGTACTGTATACTCTGACTTTTAGAAGTATATATGTCATATGTATATTGTTATATTAGGCTATAAGACTATATTAGACGCAAAACGTTTACACATGGAAGCTGTTCCTGTCTCACCTTCTCCCCAGTTGGCTTGGTGGTGGACCCCCCTGCGGGTTCTTGTGGCACAGAGAAGTCCAGCCCCCCCGTGTGGACACTGGCCAGCAGATCTTTGAGGTGCTTGTAGTTTGGCTTCTCTTGGTAATCCAGAGTTTTCACATAACTGAGGAACGCCTCCACCTCATCTGAAGACACAAACACATCAGAAGCACATTCTGAAATCCCTTTCCATACCGTATAGATTCACACTTAAAGTATTAGCTTACAGAACAGTACTGACATCAAATCTGATCCTTTTACAACAAACACTATATGCTCTTCTTAGTTCTTTACAAACATTGTAATCCTGCAAGTAATCCCCAATGTTTAGAAATGTAACAGTAATCTGATTACGTATTTTCTTTATGTAACCGTAAGGGAAAAACTAGGAGACGTACTCATGCAGAGAAACAAACTGATGAACCTGAAGGTCTCACAAGTCCAGCAAATACACCGCCCCGTAATGTATCTCCGACAGAGAGTAGATTAGCACACAGCTATAGAATGCATTGTTTGTGTGTGTGTAAGGTTCATACACAGCCACTATGCATCACACCCTGGCAGGACGACGTGTATGACACATCCTGCTGTAGAACTTGTCCCACACACACACACACACAGTTGATGCATCCTCCCGCTCTTATCTGCAGCGGGCAGCCGGGCCTCGTCAGCAGAGGAGGGGCCGGTAACAAACACACATCAGACACACTGAGCCTCACACAGGTGTGACCTCCCGTCATAGAGAGGTGAGATAAAACAAGACAAACTTTGAAAGGCGTGTCGATGGGACGGTTGTTTCACCGGTACAGAGTTATTCAGGAGCTTCAGGAAACTGATGGAAGGTTTATTCTAGGGGGAGGGACTGGCAGAAAGAGGATTTGATCTATTCGTCAGGAACATTGTTGAGGCACGTTTACAGACTCTGAAGCTGCTTTCACATGAATTGCGGTAAAACGTCTGCACCTCTTGTATCGCTGATTGTTCGAAACGCAACCAATCAGATAACGGTTGTATGAAATGGGGCAAGCTACAAAGAGCAAATTGTGAATGCAAATGTAGGCAATATTAGAAGATGGACTGCATTTATACAGCGCTTTACATTTAAGGACATGCCCATGCTATCTGGGTTCAGTATCTTGCCCATCGACATGATGACTGCAGGGGCTTGGGATCCAGCAACCAACCTTCTGATTGGAGGACAACCGTCAAAGCCTCCCAATAATCCAGTTTAAAGTATTTTAGTATGGGATGCTCTGGCCCTGTTCAAACCAAAATAAGCCCTTCATTCATTGCATTGACGAGTCCCATTGCGTTGGCATCACTGATGTTCCAACGCAAAAATAAATGAACAAAATGCTGGTTCCTCCAGCATTGCATGGTGTTGGCCAATTATATCAACCCACATGCTTTCCAGGTAAATTAGTTTTAACGCGTTAATTGTTGCCTTGAAAACTATAACATTGGAAACACACCCCCACCTAAACTGCATGGTTGTTTGGGCTGAACCGTAGGAACTGCTAACTCCCAGGACTACTGACCATATTCTGGTTCCATTTCCCAGAAGAAAAAGGAACCCTGAGGATTCCATGGCAGTTATATTACATTATTACACGGCTTCTGGGAGTGTTCCCATCTTTGGATGAGGACGCTAAAGACACTCTGATCAAGGGACTATGTCATATCAATCCACAGAAAGAAGTCCGGTCAGTTTAAATTCAGCTGTGGCCAAAAACTCAATTGTTTTCTTCTGCCAGAAAACACCTCTAATGCTGCGTTCACACCGGACGCGATGCGACTATTCGCTTCGCTCCAATCGCTCCTATCGCATCGCCCTAAACGCTGGAGTTTCACCGCGGCTGCCAGCTGTGTTTACTCGCATCATTCAAACAAGACGCGCTGGCTCGGGAGCTACAACTACAACAAATGAACATATTTTACCGTGATTAAATTGTAATACACGTTTCTAAATGATGCCGAAGTAACAACATACTGATACCGGTTAGTAACAACCATGAATTAATGCTTTGACAAGTCTGCAGACAAGACGGCAGGCAAAACACCTTTTAAAATGCTTGTTTTCTGAATGAAGATCGGGTCGACCAGGCTAAGCTAACGTTGTATATGCTCATTCCACACTCACAACAACGGCCTACAGACATAAATAAGCAGCGACTGTATTCACCATGACACAGACAGTCTGTGGTTTGTACTTGTTTAACTTTTGTCCAGTTTCTGAACGGATATGAGGAGCTGTGAGCTCTGTGTGCTAACTTCTAACAGCTAACGGCTGATGTTGTGTGGTTGAACGTCAGTGACGGCGGCTGAGATCCTCACCGCTGATTGGCTTCCGCGAGAACGCGTCACGTGAATTTGACGCTCGAGTTGAAAAAATTGAACTCTCGCGTTTAACGCGGCACCGTTCAATCGCCTCAATCGTGTGATTCGCGCCGCGTCCACCGCTTCATGCACACCGTCGGAGCGAATTCGCGTCTGTCCACGTCTCTGCATTGACTTTACATGTAATCGCGCCGCCCCCAAACGTCGCATCGCGTCCGGTGTGAACACAGCATAATACCTTTTGAATATTCATTTTTATATTTGTGGAGAGCCCCACACTTTGGATTCATAATGGATGAACTGTCCCCAGTAAAGAAGGTCGTTTAAAGCCCTGGGGCCTCATTTATAAACGTGGCTACAACGGAGCTGATCCAGATTTGCGTCCGATATGACGTAATATCGGAAATGTGGACCCACGGCCCTATCAGAAACGTTGCTATCAGAAACAATGCCCGACTGTTTGGGACGTAATATGGTCGGTGCATGTTTACATTAGCATCGCTAACACTCAGAGCTAACCTGTACTGGAGAGCATGTGTGTGAAGAAGCAGGAAATAAAAAGGAACTCACCTTGTGGTATAACCGGCAAGAGAGAAAGCCTTTGAGCTCCATACTGTTTCAGAAATAATCCTTGATAATCCATGATATGGCGTTTCATCACCGCAGTATTTAGTTTAGACAGTAGATGAGCAAAACACTTCATAGACATGTTTTTTATATATTTTTAGAATAGATAATAGAATAGAATCGGAGGGATGAAACCCCTCTGTAATGGTCACACATGCAGAGCACACAGCACACACAGTGAAATGTGGCCTCTGCTTTTAACCCATCCTAGTGCCAGGAGTCTTGTACTAGGAGCAGTGGGCAGCTATTGTACAGCGCCCGGGGAGCAATGGGAGTGAGGGGGGAAGGGGGGTGTCCGGTGCCTTGCTCAAGGGCACCACAGCAGGGCCCAGGAGGTGAACTGGGACCTCTCCAGGTAGCAGTCCACACTCCATATTTAGGTCTGTTCGGGGACTTGAACCGGCGACTGAGCCACTGCTATTGCCTAAAAATAGCATGATAGGTGACCTTTAATGTTATGAAATGTATTCTCATAAATGATGCGGTAAGCAGAAGGACAGAATTACTTTAAACTGAGGCCGTTTTGCATTTCTATAGGTTGTATAGATACGAGCATGGTTTTATATACTATCATATGTTTAATTATGTTTTCTGCCTTTTGCCAATACTTGATAAGTCGCTCATAAAACACAAGAGGTATGGAAACTAAGAACACCATATATTTGGTAAATTGTACAGCTGATAAAAAAAAAATTCAGATCCATTCGTCATGACTCCACTCCGGAGGGATCCCCCGACTTTCTGACAGTTTCTCATCATGGGGGGGTCTCCTGTCCCCGGCACAAACACACTGACACACTGCCTGAGGAAGGTTATGTGTATTTTGTCATGACCTTTTCCGGGCCACTTATTTATTTATTTTAGTGACGATCCGACCTCCATGCTGCTACTCTGGTTCAAACTGCATCCACCAAACAATGTGATTCATCTCGACCTCCCCAAAAGAACCTAAATCTGACTCGATGTGAAATGTCTTTTTTTAGCTGTTCTGTCTGCATTTCCTGCGATCTTCTTCCTGCAGTCAGTCTGAATGAATATTAATACGGGGCGTTTCTTTGACTAATTATAGGCAAATATGGGCGTTACGTGAAGCCCGCAAAAGCTGCGCCGCATTTCGAGTTGATTGTGATTTATAAAGGGGAAACCGGCGTAGGACGTGCGTGTTTTATAAATCGGAATATTTGTGTGCGTATTTACTTGCTTTGTCCTACGTACGCCACCTTCCCACGTGAATCCTACGCAAAGCTTTGTAAATGAGGCCCCTGATCACCATATCAGGGTTACTTTCACTTTAATGACCGGCTCTCTCGGCTACATTCAGTTTGTCTGGTGAGAACAACGTTTAAATAAGGTAGAATGATCTAATTGCAGACAGAGAGATTATTCTCCTCTCCTTCACAGACTGGTCTTGTTTTCAGATTCTCAGTTTACAGTAAATGTTGTCCAGTGACCCTTCCTCACCTGTGCTGGCTCCTCTCACCGACAGCTGTAGGACTGAGTCTGGAAGATTATCCATCAGTCTGAGAAAGGAGGAGGAGGAGGAGGAGGAGGAGGAGGAGGAGGAGGAGGAGGAGATAAAACAGTGACAAGGTGAGGACAGAAGAACAAACAAACTCCAGATAAATAAATACAAATAGTGTATTATCTCTTGGCTATAGAAACAGTACTTTGACCTACCTGGCCTTGGCCTCCTGGACCTGAGTTGGGTTCCTAAGAAGTTTCTCCCAAGGCAGAGACCCACATAACCAGTGAAGAAGACAAAAACCCAAAATCTGCAGGTCCCCACGTCTAGATGGAGCTATACAAAGACAACAAACAGATAAGCTGGTGAGGAAAACAATGCATCTACTACAATTCATATTATTCCATTATAAAATCACGCCATCACAGACATTTCCCGTTTGAGAAAGCTTTTACATTTGTTGGTCAAAGCTTAGCATTTTGTCCTTCTCTTTTAAAGATCAGTAGCGTAATTCCACAAAGAAGTAAAAAGCAGCAGTACAAATGTCAGTGTGAGTTGCTCTCTTATCACAAAGAGTCACCTTAGTGTACTTTCAAAGGACGGATCTTTCACCAGAGGAGTCAAGGTTGGACACAAATACCATTTCCAGCACTGGCAAGGTGTTTGTGATTCATGAATAAATCGAGAACTGTGCAGCAGAACATTCCCCTCTTACATTGTGTCTCTTTTCAGTTGGACATTTCTGTTAGGCCTAACAAGATGGAGACTATTGAAGAATCTCTGAGACACTGGACCCGTACAGTAGAATAGCATAATGATCAGAGTAATCATAGTTACCTCCTCGCTAAGACAGAAAGCACTCTGGAGAATTCCAATAGACATTGTTTTACCAAATGATGGCAATAGAATAAAAGATTACGGGAAGACTACATTTCTAACTGTTTATCCTCAGGGGGACATGAATGTTCGCACCAAATTTCATCCGTTGAATATTTGCTATATCTTTCACAATTTGTGAAGTTTTAACTCTTCGGCAGTGCTAAAAGAAAGGTTACTTGAGCATGAAGGGTCAGTAGGATTCATTCTCTCGGGAACATGAACAATTGAATAATGTAATTCTATATTAGAGACATTTCAGTCTGAAACATATAATTGGCAGACAAATCATCTGATTTCTCTTAACCTAGAACATTTCAAGGGGAACCCCTCCCTATCTTTTACTAGGTGTAGGGAAGTATTGATAAATGTTTAAATCAAATGTGTAATATAAGATAAAATATTGTTCTGAAAAATTGCCTCAAGTGATTGTCTGTTGAAAATGTCATAAATCTATGTGTCTGGAGCTCAAATTGGTATGGTAATAATGACACACAATACTATTTTGACTGATTAAAGTAATAAATGAAGGCCTGTAAAAGAACACTTTACGGTTGATTATATCATTATTTAACTACCTTTAAGTGTTCATATTGTCATTAGTTGTACACCTTACTGTTGATGTAATCATTAGTTCATAGAGGAAAACCATTGTACCATTACTGTCTGTCTTTCTGTTACCAGTGTGTTTACTGTTAACCATTTAACTGCCAGACCATGAAAAAAGCTATGGAAAAATGATTTGTTTGCATTTTTTTATCAAATGGGACACGAATAACCACAAACCATTCTTTTTTTGTTTTGACTGACCACACAGTTTTGTTTTTATGAGCCACTACCAACTGGTCGAGCTGGCCTTTTATGGTAAAAGTGCATTTTCAACAATCATCATAATACAGTACAGTATTTGTATCAAACTCAAATAAAACACAAACTGAAATACATGTTTTTCTTTTATGGAAAATGAGCAATAAATACAACCAGATATATTCATAAAAGATAATAAATTATAATTGTAAAAACTCTGAAACTCTGAAAAAGTCATATTGCTAGTTTACCATAAAAGGCCAATTCGACCAATTGGTTGAGCATATTTTCCAAAAAATAATTACACCTTTGTGCATCAAGTTATATAATTATGTTCAGTCAGTGCCCTGACACTAAAATACTGTATGTCAAAAAGGATATGGTTACCTTACAAAGGTTGACCAAAAAGAGTGATTTTGTCAGCAGTGATTTTTAGCATGGCAACTTTCTCAGTGGAAGCTAGCTGAAGGGCTTTCTGTTCGAACCACAGTGACATCTAGAGGTTGTTTTGTGCATAACATGTCAACCAAATGGTAGAGCTGGCTGAATCAGATGGAGTTAAACTTTTAAAAATAAATTTCAACAAGATATCAAGACACAAAATGTGCTCTACCAAATGGAGGCGCTGGCTGTTAAAGGGTTAAAGAAGGCTCAGATCTATGGAAGTAGGTCAAGGGTCACGAACATAAGGATACAGGTGACCATTGATTGTTTCAAATTATCCAGCACCACATTATGAGGTAAACCTTTTAATGATAAGATTTTGTAAGATTCTTTCAGTCTTCAGACATTTTTTCAGACTGACTAGTCGCAATAATTCTGTCTCTTAGACTGGATGACAATGTAATCTTTAACTTCAATCACCTGTGTCCATGTATGTTTAGTTTTATATTCTTATGTTCCGGAGTGATTAAGGATTGAGGAAGTAACAGATTCGCGACAGGCCATTTAACCACAGCACACAGCTGTCTTTTTGGTAAAGAGTTCCTGATCAGTAAAGGGTTAGGGTTAGTTCCTCTTCTCTATTACAGGCTAGCAGCTGGAGGTTACATTATCCTCTACAAGCCTGAATCTAACTTTCAGTATTCATGATTGTGCGTAAAGACTGCATCAGGTTTTGAGGAGGAAAAACTAAGTTTATAGAATCAAAGAGGACAATATCTGGACATGCTACATTGATTTGGATCCTTCCCCGTTATTTGTTCCAAAATGTTACAAGAGAGCCTCACTCTTTTAACGCTTTTCTGTTATTTTTCTTGAATGAGAAATAAATGTAAGTAAACAGTTTGTGACAAACTTTTCATACATCTGGAAGCAGCACTCTGATGAACCACTGTGCTCAAAATACGCTGCACCCTCAGGTATTTAATTATTTAGAGCACTGTAATCAGTTGTGTATCAGCACTGTAAATGTCTCCGGAGGGTACCAAGGCCTTCCACAAATCATAAGCAAAACATTTCAGCCCTTCAGGGATTTGATCAGGAGGGCAGGTAGTGCGACAGATTCTAGAATTAATGCTTTTAACGATGACCTAAAGATTAGTATATACCAGAGTGACTTCCCATGCATAAGACTTCTTTTAACAACAGGTTTGTTTGCATCTTATTGTGAATGTGTGATTGCAGGGGTCTACATTAATGTGTGAGGTCTATCAATACTTGTCGACCAAGTCCATCCAGAAGGGTCGAGCCCGGGGAGTTTTAGCAGCTCAATACTCTAACGGCCACCACACGTCTCTGGAGAAATTACCTATCGACTAGCTCCATCAGCGGGGAGAAATCTCCTCCCTGAGCCCCGAACGCCATTGATCCTCCCCAACAGGCTGCTCTAAAGAAGGAGCTCGGTCACGGCCACACAGGACCAGATTACATGGAACGTCTGGGCAGTAATCTGATTACAAGATAACCAATTTGTGGTATAAGTATTCCAATTTTTTTATTCAAAGATGGAATCTTCAATGTGGGGGGAGGGTATGAAGACGAAGAAATGTGTCAAAGAGGAGAGGTCAGGATGAAATCAAATCACTTCAAGGAAATAAATGTTTGGAGGTGTGCCTGAATAAAAAACTTGAAGGTTAGCAGGGAACGCTAAACTGCCTTGACCCAGCAGGAGGGAACAACAATCAATGAGGGAATGGGAGAGGCGGTTAAAGACTGGATGTTGACACTGACTGTAGGAAGGGCCTTTGAGAGGAGGGGTGTTAGCAAATGTCCTTTCACAATGGCATCAGAAACAAATCAACTAATACCCACAGGTAAGGGTATGAAACCCTGCGGGGGTTCTAATACACAAACTGGTGTAAGACTGATAGCCCACGATCACCATCAAGTAATGATGACTGGTTCCAAAGTGATTCATAAAGCTGTGATAACATACAGAACATGAACATCCGGTGTTAGTGCTGTCAGGAACAGTTACGTCTGTCCTGGGCATGTTGCCGAACATGGTTGTATGTGACTGAATTTCTGAAAGACATCAAGCTTTGATCGGGGTCTCCGTACCTTCCTAAACCTCAGATTTGAGGACTTTTCAAAGACCCTCTAGATCATATTCCCTCAAATTCAAAACACACAACATGGCTTAGATGGAGACACGGATAAAGGTTGATTACTGTTACAAAACTGAAACTGTATAATGAGAAATAGCAGGTCGTTCAGAAGCTTGCTGACAATAATCAAAAGCACTGAATGTGAAACTATGACGCAGTTACAGTTGACTTAGCCTAGTAACTACTAACATTAACTTTAAAGAACTTTACACAACTTCTATTTCTGCACAAAATATATGAATTCATGCACTTTCAACGATTTGCGTTTATTGATGTCTTCTTTCAAAAACTTAAAAACCTAGATTGTTTTTCTCTCCAACTCACAAACTTTCAAGGGTTTCAAGGATCTGTGGAATCCATGTTTGATTGCTCAGGGTTGAAAATGCAGTTGGTTTTGTAAATATTGTCGTGAATTGCCAAGATTGTGTTAATAAAACAACTTGATTGTATTACTGGATCCCTGTAGTGTGAATAGAGATGGAGAAACCACCTGAGAAACTATGGTAGCCTGGCAGGACTTTTATGGCCACTTTTTTTAGCCAAACAGATCTGGAAAACATGCACTGCCTTCAGCATCAAGTGTCCACCATCCGTCAGGTCTAAATATGACACTGCCATTGTGTGTTACGCTACATCTCAACAACTCTGACAATTACAAATGTTTGTCCTTGTGGGCGTAAAGTATGCATTTAGTCAGCATTACAGCGTGGCTTCCTGTTGTTGTAAATAATTGCTCAACACTTCATTGCTGCTGAGAGCTTGTTAAAGGAGAATAAAGATGAACAATGTCTGATACTGACACTGTGAAAAAGTGTTGCAACTCCCAGAGTGCCATAATAGATTAACAATTAAAAAGATCAACGACTACATTAAGCGGCGCTGCCCTCTGTGTGTGCTCTGGGCGCGTTATCAAAGCTCATAATAGTGTTTTGTGTGTGTGCTCTTCTGTGTTCAATGTGTTTTGCCCTCGTATGAGGAATGGCAGGGCAGTGCAGAGAGATATGCATGTGCGTTCACATACATGCTTAAACAGCTCTCAAAGGGAGTACGGACATGCTCGAAAAACACACACATGCACGATACATGAATACTGAACACCCCCGTATGCAGTCGCGCACGCACCGCGCACACACGCTCTTCGTGCTTTAGACAAGGAGGTGAGGCGGCGATGGTGTTGTTGTTAATTATCTCCTATTGTTATTCAGATTCCCCAAAGCGTGCCGCGGTGTCACACTCTTAACCCTTCCGCTTCACAGTCTTGTCGTTTGGAGACGGTCTTCTGTCTGCCGGACGCCCACCGAATGGTGGTAATTACACCGTTTAACTCCGAGTTCAAAGGCCTGCCATTCGCCAGCTGCATTCACCAAACCTCACCATGGCAACCTGTCAACATCTTTGCGGGTATTGGTGCCATCGGGTCAGAGAGGGGTCGCGTCCTCGGTCTTAATCTGCATGCGCGGTGGAAAATACTTAAAGATGACAATAACCTGAAAAATACAAATGTTTCTGTTTTGTTCCCATAGCTGGAGGTTGTATCAGTTTCTTTGAAGAGTAAAACTGGCTGATCTGTGTTTAAAAAAATGATAAATTCTGTCAGGCTTGCAGCAGTCTTGTAGCTTCAATAAGTGCTCATGGTGAAAAGATGGACCGCTAAAATGTTCATCTATAATTGTAGCTATTGTTGTATTATTGTATATTAAAACTTTATATTCCAACCTATCAAACAAGCTATAACTTTTTTGATGTATTTTTTAAGGTGACCTATTATGCAGATGTTCAGGTTCATATTAGTATTTTGTTCCTCGACTGTGACACGTCTCCATGCTTTAAAGGTCCCCATTATACTGTTTTTCATCAATATAATATAGGTCTCAGATATATACAAAACATGTCTCTGAAGTGTTTGGCTCCAAACACCAAACAGATCATTGTAGCATCCCATAATCCCCTCTGTTTCAGCCCTGTTTCAAAAGTGCTGATTCTCTGTCTGTTACTTTAGATGAAAATAAGGAGCCACTCCCATCGCCCCTCTGAGAGATATTTGGTTAAAAAGAACACAATGGTGCTCTAGGAGGAGATTCAGGTGATAAGGTGGGCGGGTGTTATCTTGGTTGGTGATTGGCTAATGGTTACACAAGCCAAAAAATCGTTATGACATCATAAAGTGGCCAACATCTGATCAGCTCATTTTCAGACAAAAAGAGAGCTTTCAGAATCTCTTTACACAGAGGGGACACATGTGTTGTATAAAAGACGTGAAAAAGTGGATTTTGCATAATAGGTGACCTTTAATGTTAAAAAATCTCTGTACTGCCTGTGCTGCAGCACCTCTTTTCACCCTCTGTCTGAAACCAGAGCCCAGTCTGTTCTGTTTGGTTAGCCGGCAGCTCTGTTGTGAATGGTCAACCCCTTAGAGATGTCCCGCCCCTTAGCCCATCATGTACAATGTGATGTAGGGCTAGCCAATAGAAGTTTGAGTGTTACACAGTGATGTCAATATGTTAAGGCAGTAAACAAAGGAGTTCAATGAAGGCATTTCATGCAGTGTGGGAGAGAAACTTCCTCTGGAGGAAGAATTGGTGATTTTATCTTTTGCAGACCATTTACATGCACACAAATCTATATAACACACTCCAGGGAAGGGAAAACCCCCAAAAGCATAACAGGGGCTGTTTTAGGCCCCGCTCACACGGGACCGTTTGCGTTTATGCACAGTATGCGTATTCAAAAAAGTCTTCCATTCACATGCATTCGTTTCATTTAACGTGTCTGTTCAAACGAGACCGCTGGAAACGCTGTAGTACATATGCCGGGACTGTAAGTGGCGCTGTAACTTCCGCCACAAAATACACCAAAAGCAGTGAAGAAGACTCCGCAGCAGCCCCGCAGCAATGTTGCCATGGCTACCCTTCTGTTTACGCCCCGCCGTGGATTTAGCAACATGTAGTTCATGTAATTCTCCATGTCCACTTGTTGCTGATGGTTGTGGTAGAGGAGCTGTAGATTTTGCACTAATATCTGTAGTATGGTCAGTAGCAGTAGCAGTAGCAGTAGCTACTGACAGGAGGAGGAGCATGTCTCCGTGGAGAGGACTCGCTCAGAGAGATATTCTCTACAAACACCGGGTGAGATCCTCCTTTGTCAATATAATGGATCAATGCATGAAATCTGACTCTGTTTATTTTGTTTTAAGGAGTATATTGGGCGTTAACAATTCTGGTTTGCCTTTTATAATATTATTTCATTCAAGAACCCCTTGTGCGTTTAATTAACACAGCCATGCTACAGCAGTGAGCAGGAGAGGTGGGGCTATCCTATTTTTTCAGGAAATATTCGTATAGAGGTGATTACACGGACTCGGTTGACCCCCCAGAGCGTTTCGTTTGCAAATCTATCCACCTTGGGACCCGTTATCGTTTGTGGGGTCAGTTTCTATCGGCCTCGTGTAAATAATAGGGCTATACGCACGCGAAACTATGCAGATACAAGCAGTTTTCTCCTCGTGTAAACGGCGCCTTAGTCTTGATAGGCTTTCCAAAATGTCATGATGAACCGTGTATATATTTACTTTTCTCAACCAAAAAGTTAAACCGGCATGGATCTGTGTTTAAAGCCATGATTAACTCTGTCAGGCTTTCAGAACTCTAATAAATGCACATGGTAGAAAGATGGATAGCCAAAACGTAATTGTATAATTGTAATTTTCATAGCTATACTTTCTCCCACTCTTTTCAAAATCATATTAAAATTGACATGACTTCCATTTGATAGATATTGCTGACAGGACATTTCTGCCCCTCTTTTACTTATCGATCCTGTTGATAGAAACACTACCGCGGCGATTAGGCGGTCTGAGCCATTGCTAGCTCACAATATCGAACTGCAGGGAAGTGGAGTTGGGCGGAGTGGAGCTCATGGAGGGTTATCTGTGGCTCGGCCTCCCTCTAACCAAACATCAAAGCCCTTAATTAATGGGGGATGAATACACGATGCAGGTTATGACTTCAGCTAATTAGGGTATTGTTAAACAGGGACGGTAGGGGGGAATTCAGCAGGGGCTGCGGATGGAGAATCGATGGTCAATGAAGAGAAGGAGCATGTAGGCAATTTGCCAGTTAATGTGTTCCCAATATCTGCAGAGGGAGGCAGGGGGCGGCGGGGCGGAGAGGGGAGACTGTTTTACATGTATTGACAAACTAAGACTGCCAACTAAAAGGACAGAGCTTATTGTAGGATTAATATAGATACTGTTGAAATACTTAAGTACTTTTCATTCTTTACAAACTAACTCAAATCATTGGTAGCGAAATCAGCTGTCTTGAGATTAACAATAGGCATTTCATTGCTGGTGTTTTTTCCGAGCAATACATCTACCAGGATAGGAGAAAAAAAAAGGCTCTTAAAGGTCCCATGTCATGCTTTTCCGGTTATTACCCGTCCCCTTGTGTGTTATGTAGCTTTTTCTCCATGTAAATGGTCTGCAGAGTCACAAACTCAAAGTACACCCTGTAGCGAGTAAAACTCTAACGCAGAAAAGACCTGTCTATGCTGCCCCAGAACGCCTCGTTGGGGATTTCTCTTTTTCCATTGTTTTCTTCCTGGGTATGGTGACGTAACCATACCCAAATGGACCAATCCGTGGAGCCGTTACGTTACGTCCGCGGAGCCGTTACGTTAAGTCTTCCTCACACACACACACTCAATCTTTTCTCAGCTGCAGCTCCGCCGATTTCTCCTCCCTGAGACGGCGGAACGCGGCGGGTGTGTGTGTGTGCTGGTTTCGGGCTGGGTTTCGATGTGTCTCGCAGACGGCCACTGGGCTCACAGGGAGGGGGGGGCAGGAGCTCCAACAAGCCGTTTAGGACAGAGAGTGAATACACATACTATACAGAGATGCTGTATGAGAAACCAATGTGAGTTTCGAAAATTGCACAATATAAATCTATTTTAGTAGACCTTAACAATGGAATTATGATCAGTAGAAATGGCCATGACATGGGACCTTTAATGTACATAAGTCACAGAGTCCCAATCAAAGAACTTGAACTTTTGTCTTGGTTGCGAGCAGCTCATATAAAAACTGAAATAACTATTTAATGCTTGTTGTATAAACTATATACTTGTTGAATTAACATTAGAAGTTTATCACAGAGAAAATGTGGAGCGTCCTTATCTCCTGTAAACTGACACAACACTAAATGCACATTTGTGTCCAAGGGTTGAGAAATATATTCTTTCTTGCCAACATTTCGCATCATGCCACAACCTTTTCCATGCTTTTAATATGCAATAATAACCTTAAGTCTAGATTAGCCTGCCACAATTTCTTGATGAACCGTTTATTATTTACTGAACTCAAGTTGGCAGGTCAGAGAAGGCCGCACAGCTTGTGCCTCCCAATGCGAAGTATGCGGCAGATTGCAGTGCACTACACAGTAAGTACCCGTATGGTGCACTAATAAAAGTTGGAACACTCGACACACTTGCACTCAACGCTCAGCATCTTCGCTTAGTAACATACGTTTCTCAATCTGCAACACAGTACTACACAAATAAAAAAAGACAGCTTACAGCGCCAATCATCACTTCCAGTGGGGGCAAAGCAGTCATGTGCGATTTGAGACAAAACTAAATGATCCAAATTCCCACAATGCACTGTTCACAGTACACGGCATGCAGTGTACTAAAGGAAGTGTCAGAATCAGTGATTTCTACTTCTCATTTTATACTGGCTTACCAAGTCCTTTGTGGGCATCAAGGCTGGTGTATTCAATGGTTCCATTGTGGCCCTTCTTGGGGTTTTCCTTGTATTCTTTGTGGACTCCATCAGGACAGTATCTGTAGGACAGCCCGTAGTCTGCTAGATAGACCTACAGGACACACACATACACATAAAACACGTAGATGATGGACAATGTGCATACTTAGAACTCATAGCCTTGATTGCAAAACATACTTAACATAACATTCTGTAAACTATAGCATAACTCTATGCACATGAAGGATAATCAACGGAGATCTAGAAATACTAACCTGTTCAGGGTCTCTGCAGCCCAGCATGAGGTTGGCAGCTTTAATGTCTGCATGCACATACTCGTTCTCATGAATATACTCCAGAATGTCCACCTGGCAAAGGACGGAAATGTAAATCAATGCACAACGTCATTGGTGACCTTTGTTCAGGATATTAAAGGGATCTCACCAGTCCTCGTCCAAGCTGGAGAACTGTGGCCTTCTTCAGTTGACCTCCGCTGTGTTCCAAGATTTTCTGAAGGTCACTGCCCAGTCGGTCCATGGCCATGAAACGATACCTGAGAGGAGAGGAAAAATCAGTGGTCAATATCTTATTTTTCTTAAATCAAAATAACTCCTAGTTGCTGATATAAATGTATGTTTGAGAGTATTGAAAAAAGGTTTTAACTCACAGATTTATCACCCAGGAATAAACAACCTTTAAACAACCTTGCAGTACATGTAATGTTGTAATGTCATAACAACTGAAACACATTGGTAGATAAGGGAGGGAGAAAAGTCACTTTGAAAAAAAAGGGACATTCAGCTGGTTTGTTGCTCACTATGGATGCTACTTGTACTGTACAGTGTTAAGTTCATTTGCAAGGCTCACTCAGTATGTAGCCATGGCAACGCAACATCATTGGGTAACATCTGCCTTTTGTTGTTATGCAGTAGTGAACAACTTCTTCAGATGAGTCATCTGCTAATGTGTCTTCAGAAATATTCATTAGTAATAAGCCACATGTAACGTTTATTTGCATAATATTATCATACAGTTCAGTCCAGTCCAGTGTTTGTATCCCTAGCCCTTATATCAAACATGTATTATGGTCATCATCTAATGACATTTGTCCTGAAAGCTTGTCAATACCTCAGGTCATTATATTCAGCGAGTCCTGATCCCCAGTAGGTTGGAATGCCCAGGAAGTCCAGTTTCCTTCTTTTCTTCCATTTTTGCACTGAAACAACAATAGGAGACAATTATGTCAATGTGTGTTCATATATATTTCAGCATTTAAACTCCAACCAACAACTAAACTAAACTCTTAACCACAATGTTTGAGAAAGAAGAAACCTTTGTCTCTTGAACCGCTGTTCTGACAGACAACTTAAACAAACTTTGGTGTTACTCCCTAAGAATTCTCAAAGTCTAATCATTTCCTAACCCTTACCAAAACCCTGATATAACACTCTCCTTTTCCAATAGGTATTCGAAGAAAAGCAACAAATCTCAAAGAAAGTAGAAAAATGTTTTGGCTAGAACTGTTCGGTGTTATGATGTTTAATAGACTTATTTAGCCACTTGTTAGTAACGGACGTTTTTCTGACACAAAAAAGTTTCAGACGTTCATTTGTGGGGTGTTTACTGACTTATTTTATGTTGTAGAACAAAACGTAAAAATGATCTTAAGCTTTTAACAACAGATCTTATTTCAGAATATAACCAAAAATAACTGATTTTGAGACAAGGGAACCATATGGTGTAACGCACGCACGCACACACACACACACACACACACACACACACCACACACACACACACACACACACACACACACACACACACACACACACACACACACACACACACACCACAACACACACACACACACACACCACACACACACACACACACAACACACACCACACACACACACACACACACACACACACACCACACACACACACACACACACACACACACACCACACACACACCACACACACCACACACACACACACACAACACACACACACACACACACACACACACACCACATCACACACACACACACCACACACACACACACACACACACACACACACACACACACACACACACACACACACACACGTCGCGGCCGGCCTGACTGGCTCTCCACCAGACTGGCAGGTGGTCAGGGGCTCAGCGGAGGCCCGGGCATCATTATGTGTGAGTGGCTTCCTCTCTGCCGCACCTCTCCAAACCGAGGCGTTGGAGAGCTCAGACAAGCGTGGAGAGGGGGGCTAACTGCCACTGAGGTGCATGTTTGCTTTGGCTTATTATTAATTACTGTGCTGCAGGCAGCAAAGCCTCCGTGTCTGCGGCCACTTCATCAGTCAAACACACTCGTGCTCCAGTGAGCTGCCGGGACGCTGGACGGACGCTGCTACTCACTGCTCTCCGCTTTGGCTGCCCTCTGGTAGAACTTGAGCTCGGAGAACAGGGGGCCGTTCTCATGGTACTCCTGGAGATGCAAGGGAACATTACTAACAATTTCATTATCATGGTCTCAAGGCGGCTTGACAAAAACACGTGTTAGCATATCACACAGTGGAGTTGAAAGAGATAATGCTCCACAATAAGAAAAATAAAGACATTTTTTTACTCATATTGTGATTATGATACAGGGGGACTGATCAGTTTTGCATCATTATTATCATTATCAGTGGAAAATATATTATGATGATCATGGTGGGATTTTTTTAAGAGAGTTTAGAAAATACGATTTGTAGGCAAGTCTGCCTCTGCAGTTCCAGAATACTTTGTTTAAAATGCTATTTCAATACATATTTAGCCTTTAACAAATATTGTGCTTTTTGAATGTTGGGCTAGTCTAGTTCATAAGGCAATTTCAATGAAACAATTATTAAATGTGATGGGCTAGTAGGAGACATTAGGGTGGCATTTTTTTTTCTTTCAAAGATGTATTTCTGCTGTGTCTTCCCTTAAATCATAAGAATCCAAAACACTTGGATAACCCATGGCAAGGCAGCAAAAACATTTCCATCTAAACTCTATATTAGGTGAAAGTTGAATCCCACCTCTTTTGCAAATATTGAAGTGTAAGACAATATCTAGTCACGATATCAATAGAATATTGATGTATAGACGTAGAGTATTCTTATAATAGTATCAGCTGAAATGTAAAATATATAATTTTATCAGAATTTAGCAAAAAGATTTGATTCTAAAAAGGTCACTCAGCCACCAATTTGACAATTTGCATGAATGTCTCATATATTTAAGGCTGTAAACTCTACTTCCCCTGAACAGAAATGCATGTGATTCAACCATCACACTCAATCAAATGTCTTTTTACTACATTATCCAAAGTTATTTCTGTCATCATTTGTTTCAGTCTTCTCAAACACATTTTCGGTGACTTCAAAATAAATCACCTGATGTTTGGAGAAATCGAAACTGAAATGAGGAAACATAGTTTTGATGCAAATAGTTTCCTTTTCCTCTGTAACCTTATGAACAGCTGTGTGAAGCTCAAATGTACTCACCAGTTTTATGACAAAGTCAGTGTCTGCTGCAACAGGTCTGTCCACATCACGGGAGGCTGTTCAACAGGAGACAGAGAGGAACATTATAATAACATACAGAGGATAAAGTTGTGATACATTATGAAACGTCTTAACTCTTGGACGTTATCCAGCCATTTGCATGTTTAAAATGTATCCAAGACAAGGAAGAAATTAACAAAATACTGTACTCAAAAAGCCGGACTGCACTTATGGATTTGTAAATATCGGGAGTTAGTGCTGAGTGGAAAGGTCTCCATAGATTAGAGGTAGGAATTTGTTAGGAATCCCACGGTTGTCTTGTAACAATCTGATCTGTTGAAAGAGCTTTCAACAGAAAGAGACAAACAGATCAATCAGAGTCTCCCAGGAAGAGAGAGATGTTCTGTTACCTGCATGAACATACTCATTAAGAATCAGAACACTTCGTTTATCCTGGGAGAAATAGGATTTTGTGACAATTGCTCCATTTACAATAAATTCAAACAAAAATATGTGTACCACCATACAAATACAAAAGGTTAAAATGGGCCATTGAGATTAAACAAAAATGTTAATAAAATATTTATATTAACAAAATAAGTTAAATACAAAATGTACAACAAACAGAGGTGGAAGAAGTACTCAGATTATTTACTTGAGTAAAAGTAGCAATACCACAATGTAAAAATAATAAGTTACATGTTAAAGTCCTGCATTCAAAATTGTACTTAAGTAACATTTAAAAAGTACTTTGATCAATATATAAAGTACTCATTGTGCACATTAAAGCACAATATATTTTTTAAATTATTGTATTATAATTAATGATGCATTAATGTGTTCATCACTTCAACGTTGGACTTGACTTGACTTTATAAACTACTGGGGAGCATAACTGTTAACCTGTTTCACCCTGAGCCTGTTTTTCAGGTCTCAGGCTCGAAAATGACATTCCCAGAACAAATGACCATATCTTCCCTTCTAAAAGGGTTAAATTAATAATCTTTGTTCTCAAAGTAATGATAAACCTGTGAGTTGGATGTAGAAAAGTCAGAATCAATATACTGTAGATGTTTTTTATTTTAAAGAAAATTCAGATTTAATTATTTTTTACTTATAGTGAAAACTACCCTTGGATGATGGGTTAGTAGACTAAAAGCTATAGGAATCCAAAGTACAACATATAATAAGTACCCTGTATCAAGATTGATGCAAAACAAGTCAAATTTGACCTTTTTAGAGAGATTTAGCAAAAAAAAACACTTCTGGGGTCATTTGGGTGGATTTTCCATATCTCTGCCCCCCCTTGGTCGATTTTGATGAATGAAATCTCTTTATAACCGCTAGAGCCAATGGAATCGAGGGAAAGTTCTACACACACCAAAACGTTAACAAATAAGGAGTGAGAGTGACGCGTGGCCAAAACCGGAAGCTGCATACACTCTGTTGGCTACCATTAGCAGCTAACTTTTTTGCTCCGATTTTTACATAAAAATGGAATTATGGATTATAAATCATTTTTTCAAAGCAACAGATACATTATTAACCTATGGATCAACCGATGCAGCCGCGTTTTCTCTCGCTGTAATGCCATTGAACACGTCTTTTGATCAGATTGACAGCTACGGTGAGACGACCTCACGTAAAAGCTCCGTAAAGGTACGTGTTGTGATGTCTGTGTTTGCTTCCCCTGTTGCGAGTTCGGAAATCGTATATATTGTATGTGCAGTTTCGATAAGTAATAAGGGTATCTTTATCTTGAGTTCTGTGCTAAAGTGCGTTAGCATTTTTTCGCTTAGTGCTAATTCAGAGGCTTGGCATTACCCTTGTGTTTTGTTTTGGTAAAAATTGTTCATATCTTCAGTTAGCTGAGATTCTTCCCGTTAATCTGGTGCTACACATTAATAGTTTCATAAATGTTAAGAAGCCCTGAGACACAGTCTCGAAAAAAAATGGTGGGGGGGGGTCCACTGGGGGGACCGTCGTCCTTAAGAGGTTAATAACATATGATAATGTGTTGATTTTGGTGTTAAATTAATAATCTAAATTTGTAAAATAACTAGTCACTAAATCTGTAAAATAAATGTAGTGGAGTAAAAAGTATAAAGTAGCATAATGTGAAAATACTTAAGTATAAGTACCACCGTTTTTTATTTAAGTACAGTACTTGAATAAATATACTTTGTTACATTACTGCACTAGCAATAAAATATATAATACAATTAATTCACAGTAATATGTAAGATGTCCACAGTAAATATGTATTACCTAAATAGATGAGTCCACAGCCACCTTGGCCGATGATTTTACCCAGCCTCCATTTCTTCTTCTCACTGTCAGTCAGTAGGAAGCCTTCTGGGAGGGGTTTGGGCAATGCACTCTTCTTCGGTGGTGGCATGACAACTAAGCAGGAAGTGTAGGAAAAATGTGATGTTAGGAATTCTGGTACCACTTTACAATAAACTACCCTTATAAAGGATTCATAAAGGGTTTATAATTAGGTTATGAATTAGGTTGTAAACACTTTATTAATCATTAAGAACCATTTATAAACCAGTTCTAACATAGATCATACATATTCTACCTGTGTAGATTCATACATCAACACAGGCTCACTATTTGGCAAGATGACTAAGCCTTATATTGGCTACCTAGCGAGAATCAACTCAGTGAGCAACAGATACCAAGGATGCTGGCTGATGAAGAAGACGAAGTAAGCTAAGTAGCCAATATAAGACTTAGCAGTACAGATAAATGTGGGCTCACTATTTGGCAAGCAACCGGTCACAGTCGCCCTGTTTATCTCATGTCTTATAAAAGCTTATTAATGATTTGTAAAGTGTTCACAACCTAATTAATAAATGAATTACAAAATATTCGTAAACCCTTTATAAGGGTAGTCTTATTGTAAAGTGGTACCGGAATTCTTATATGGGCAACATAAAATTAATATCAGATCTCATGCGGCTTCGGTCCCACACTACTTAAAAATAGTAGGCTCCGGAGTCACCGTTCTGTCTAACATGAAAACTAAAATTAGAAAACACCAGCTGGCTGGTACAGGATTTACCTCGAGCATTATACTGCCAGTTTTGTAACGTTAACAATGATTACAAACACATTTTAAAATTAAATTGTATTTAGAAAAATGACTGCCAAAAACGTAATGACAGTACACACTGTAACCGTCTAGTCTTTGGCAATAAAAGTTTGGATATCAATAGTGCACGTGACGGCAGAGTGTTTTATCTGACTATCCAACTTTGTTTGTCACGGTTAGTAAGCAGTACAGTAAAGTACAGTTAAAGTACATTTACTCAAGTACTGTACTCAGGTATAATTTGGTCGTATTTTCACTTTATGCTACTTAATACTTCTCCTCCACTACACTTTGAAAGCCAATATTGTACTTTTACTCCACTATATTTATCTGATAGCTTTGCTTATTAGTTACTTTACAAATTAAAATGATAAGACAATATGCAAGTTAACTAATAAATAAACATTCATTGACACACTAATGCATAAATAATAATAATCCAGTGATTTGATTCTGAAATTGGACTGTATGTACAAAAAGTACGTGTATATGTACATGCTAATGCTTGTAGTAGTAGAGTTGTAGAGTAGTTGTACAAGTACTTCTTCCGACACTGTTAGTTACACACTTAGAGTGTATATTTAAAGGTTACACACAACACAAGAATGACAACAGAAATAGCTCCACAGTTAAAGATAACTCAATACCGTTAAACACACTGTCGTTAAAATTAGATGACACGCCTAATGCAGTGGAAAATGTAAGGTTTGAACACCTAAATCTAACAGTTAGCGTTAGTTTAAGGAGCATCCAACTAGCAGCTAAATAAGCTAGTGAGGAGCTATTTTATTACTTACATGCTTTGTTATGTACCGACCTCCCAAGGGAACCCAAGCCGTAGCCTACGTCGTCCCTTTGTGTATAAATATATATCGAAACACGGTGATAATATATACTTGAGAGCAAACGTATTCTTAAAATGTGTATCTGTCCTCTGTTGCTCATATGCCGGTGCGAAACAGAAACAAACGCTGTTTACTTCCTGAAAGTTGTCCCGCCTCAGCCAATAGAATGCAAGGAAAGTTTTTATTGTGAAGTCATACTGATAATTTAAAGGTCCCATGTCATGGCCATTTCTACTGATCATAATTCCATTGTTGAGGTCTACTAAAATAGATTTAGTGGGAGTGGTCATCCCGTTGTGTGTGTGTGTGTGTGTGTGTGTGTGTGTGTGTGTGTGTGTGTGTGTGTGTGTGTGTGTGTGTGTGTGTGTGTGTGTGTGTGTGTGTGTGTGTGTGTGTGGAGAGTCTGCAGCAGTACCGCCAAACCCCCGACCCGTCTTGTAACACGGAGCCCGTTTCCCATCAGGGCCGGTTCTAACCAATTTGCTGTCCGCAAGATCTTAGCTATTTTTGTTGTTCATTCATATCTTATTTTACCTAGTTAACATTTATTTATGCATGTTTTTGTATCTCTCAAGTTTTAAACGATATTTTTGGTTTACTGTCCTATAGTATACATTGAAATGATTTCAAACCTGTTTATCCCAATAATTATAAAGGAGTGCCTTGGAAATATTTGTTTACATAATTTGCATTTATCTCTCTTGCTCGCTCCCACGCCCACTTTGGCTGTGAGCTGCGGACGCCTGATAAGCCAACACCCCCCCACTTTCATCACTTACAGCGCCCATCGTACAGGGCAAATGAAAAGTGTAACCGGGGTGAAAAGGGTGTTACCTTTACTTAATTATGAATGTTGTTACATCAAGGCCGAAAATTAGGATGTGCGCAAACAGTAAAAAAAATGTTTTTCCCTCCCAGAGCTGCCAGTGCAGCGCCCCCCAGATTTGGCGCCCTAGGCGACCGCCTATGTCGCCTATGCCAAAAACCGGCCCTGTACACCATGCTAAATGTATGTCTACATAAAGCTGAGTTATGATCGGTCATAATAACACACAGAATTTGGTGATGATTAAATAGTTTACAGTGAGATTTACTCCCATACTTTTGGCCATACTCACACAGCCCTACAAATGAATTGAGATTTCCACACAAATGTTCTTTAGCAAGTGCGCAGAGCAGTGTTGATTTAAAAAAGCAATTTGAAGGTTGGATATTTGTTAACCTTTTTTTGTGTATATATATTAATAATTTAAGATGTAAATGAATTCCAGTTTATTTGTAGTACTTTCTATTTTTATTGTGACATTTGGTGGCATCAATGTGTGCATTTGATACAGATAATGGAGCAGTTGCTTTAGGGCCACAGTGTATATCCCTTAAGGTCAAATAATGAGATCCTCGACCTCCGCCCCCCTCTCGCACCTCCACACAGAGCCCCCCCACATATCAAATCCCAACTTAACCCCTGCTTACAGGCTGTGTACCCGAATCTCCCGCTGGTCCAAACAAAGTAGGAACAGCATCGTCCTTCAGTGTCCTACGCTGTGCATATCCGGCATGAATCGCTGCAATGTTTGCGAAGTTTTGGTCCGTGAAATGCCGCGCACACAGTACAATACCGGCTCGAACATCTGAAGGAACAGTGTTAACAAGAAATGTCTACCAGTTTTGAACTGAACCTGAGCTTCCAACAGTATGTTCGGCTGGCAGAGGGTGCGGCCATAGCTCTGGGCGTGGCTACTGGGTATCCCTACGTCACGATACCCAGGAAGAAAACATTGGAAAATGAGAAATCTCCAACGAGGCGTTTTGGGGAGGTCTTTTCTGTGTTAGAGTTTTACTCCCTACAGGGTGTACTTTGAGGGCTTTTGACTCTGCAGACCGTTTACACCTTCATAACACACAAGGGGACGGGTAATAACCGGAAAAGCATGACATGGGATCTTTAACTGAATGTTCTTTTAATAATACGTTTTTCAAAAAAAAAAAAAATTACATAGGATCCCCTACAAACAGGGGTCGGCAACAGGCGGACCGCGGTCCGGACCCAGACGCCGACCTATATGGACCCGGACCTATAATCAATACATTAATAGGGGATTTCAATTTTGACGGGGCGATTCTATTTTAACCGCTGCCGACAGGGGGCGAAAGAGACGAGTGAGCGATACAGGGAGAGAAACACAGAAGAAGAGACGAGAGAGCGGCAGAGAGAAGTGGAGAGGAAAGTGAGTGAAGAGAATAATTAGCGATACAGGGAGAGAAGACGGAGAGGAGAGTGAACAGGCGTGTTAGCGGCAGACAGGGAGAGAGAAATAATTACACATGGCGCTCTCCAAGAAGAGGAAAGTGGACAGTGAGAACAGAGCTTGTAATCCTGAGTGGACGGACTCATTCATGTTCATCCTGCCCACTGGGAGCACAGAACCAGTGTGTCTCATGTCTTCAGAGACCGTGGCGCTCATTAAAAGTGCCAAAACGCCACTATGAGACAAAACACAAAGTGTTTGACCAAACATTCCCTCTCAAGTCAGAACTGAGGTCACAAAAAATAAATATCGTTCCAGCGCAGGCTAACCGAGGCTAACCAATGAGCACCTGCATGTGTGTATGAGAATGGCCCTGACACCATTTCAGCCCAGATCTAAACTCCTGGCAGGACAAGCTCAAGCTCAATTCTCGCACTGAATTAAAAAAAGTGAGTGAGGGACTGCAATATAAGAGGGAAAGAAAGAGAAACTTTAAAACTGTTCAATTGTTATGATGTGTAAAGACTGATATTGTTCTATAATCGTCTGAAAACTGTTAAGTCATGATGTGAACGGTTAACAAAGCTATTTTATTTATTTTCTCTATTTTATTTTTAAATGCAGCCAGAGAGGAACATTACACATATCCACAGTATTTTACTGTACATAGTTCAATGTTAATTGACAATAAATATTGTTGTTTATGAATTGTACTTTCTTTATTTGATTGGCAGTCAGTTGTTGATTACATGCAGACGTTGATACAGCTGCAGGCTACTTCAATATCTCACACTAATTCATAAAGCAAGTTAGACATTTTGAAGTTCCGGACCTTTGCATGGGGAGATTTTCTCTAACTGGACCTCGTTGAATTTTAGTTGAATACCCCTGCCCTACAATGATTGGTGTAAAAACCTCATGATTACAACCAGCATAACACTCTTTAGCATAATGGGTTTTCTTGCATGTCATGATTTCTAAATCCAGTCAAGATGACACAGCTTTCTGTGGAATGATGGCAGCCTATATGCTATAAGTATTTTGAAGAGCATTAAGGCATGATGTTACGGCCCCAACGACCTCTACTCTGCGGTAGTGGCTCGTGCTGAGACCTTTATATATACAGTCTATGGCTGAGACCCGCAACAAAAAACAAAAATATTTTTTTTTTATTTTTTTTTTATTGTGTGTCCTTTGTAGAGGACATCGGGTGTTAGTTATGCGAAGCATAGTATACAAACAACATTAACATATAAGTACATTTAGACAACATTAGAGCACAACAACTCAATGCAACAAATATTGAGCCCTCATTTGTAGTACTCCATCCTTTTTTGAAATGCAGAGATACATCTGACACTTGAGACACTTGATGTATGTTTTCCCACTGCATCCGTCTGCCATGAACCCTACAGAAACCTACGTGTTAGTTTTGGCCCATAGTGGACTCCATTTGTGTTGTGTAAAATGGGGAAAATCAAAAGTTAGCAAATCCCCATGTCCTCCTCAGAGGACATTCATAAAAACATTTAGTTTTAGGTCAAATAAGTATTACACTGCTCTGAAAACTCACTACACTAACTCCTAAGATGTTCCCTTACTATAATTAATTAAAATATTGAACTCACAACACTGGTAATTACAAAATTACAAACTTACCATTTATCTTTCTATAAATAGAAATCGCCCCAAACATAAGCGCACGCTGATGCGCTCACACACGCACGGACACACACAACCACTCATAAGCGCCACATCAACCACAGCCTGCCCTGGCCTCAGACCACCACAGCCTGACAACGGCACAGCAAACTAATCACACAATCACTTTACAGAATTAATCGAGATTTGGAGGACGATGTATGACAAAAAAAGCTATCTAATTTCGTCAGTTTCGTCGTCTCCTTGTTCTCTCTTGTCCTTTCTCTTTTGAGCGCTGCTCTTGTACTTTGGTTTGCTGTACATTATAAATGCAAGCTATTACATTTGTTATAATGCTGCCAAACTTGCTACTGCTAGCTACAGTAACTATAACTTTTGAGGTTGATTAAACGGTTCGCTCGTCAGGCAAGGTATCACATGACATGAAAGGGAGCAAGGTCATTGGACAGACAAATTACAAATTAATGTAGGTTGCTTGGTTACTTTGAAGACTGCGTGATACGGTCAATGCCATTGGGGCTCCCCCCAAAAAAAATTATTACTAAAAAATAATTTAAAAAAGAAAATGTAATATCTTTTTCTTTTTTTTTTGCATGGGCCCCTGGCCGGCTCTGGGCCCCGGTGCGTTGCACCAGCTGCACCGTCGATAGTTACGCCACTGACCTGGGCAGAGGCGGAGCCAGGGGCAGACCAGGTGCACCTGCGCAGTAGGGAGACAGAAAATAAAACAAGGAGGGGAGCACGTAACACCCCCACCATGAGTTAGTGATTCTTTTTCTTTTTTCAAACAAAATAATCACAACAATCAACTTTGAGTTGACAGACGCGCTCACGACTACGTTTGTCTTTTACGACCACTCAGGCCACACACAGAACAGGCAAATACCAGACAAACACACAGCAACAAAAAAAACACTCGCAACAACTGCTACATATTTATATATATAAGCGCGACAATGCATCGGCCAACACATTGTCCTTGCCACGAATGTGTTTGACCTCAACATTGAAGGCTTGCATGAAAATACTCCACCGCATCAATCTTTGATTTGTGTTACGCATCCTCTGCAAAAACACAAGGGGGTCGCGATCGGCAAGAACAGCGACAGGAATGTCCGATGACCCAACGCACACCCCAAAGCGGTTTAAAGCCAGAACCATAGCCAGTGCCTCCTTCTCGATGGTGGAATACACCCGCTGGTGGCGATTGAATTTCTTGGAGCAGTATG